CCCCCCAGGGCTGGAGCTGATCAAAGGCAAGGATTAAAGCAGGGAAAGGAAAAAAAACTCCTCCCAAGCTGGAGCCAACCAGGAGGCTGCAAATCCACAGGAAAAGAGAGAGGGGCCTCAAACCATGGATACTCCCATTCCTAAATCCCTGTTTATGGTCAATATTGGAGGGAGAAACACCCAGTACTTCTCACCCTGGCTGTAATCTGGGAGGGATTTGCAGCACAGGGAGAAGGGAGAGGAATGGAATGGGAATGACCTGGGAAATGGGAAGGAAACAGGATCCTTCAGTGATTAAAGGAGGAATGGAATGGGAATAACCTGGGAAATTGGAAGGAAAGAGGATCCTTCCATGATTAAAGGAGGAACGGAATGGGAATGACCTGGGAAATGGGAAGGAAACAGGATCCTTCCATGATTAAAGGAAGGAAAGTTAACAGGAAAAAATTCCTCACAAGCACCTGCTGGAGCCAACCTGGAGGCTCCAAATCCACAGCAAAGCCAACTCAAACCATGGATATTCACATTCCTAAATCCCTGTTTATGGTCAATATTAGAGGGAGAAACACCCAGCACTTCTCACCCTGGCTGTAACCTGGGAGGGATTGGCAGCACAGGGAGAAGGGAGAGGAATGGAATGGGAATAACCTGGGAAATGGAAGGAAACAGGATCCTTCAGTGATTAAAGGAGGAATGGAATAGGAATGACCTGGGAAATGGGAAGGAAACAGGATCTTTATATGATTAAAGGAGGAATGGAATGGGAATGACCTGGGAAATGGGAAGGAAATGGGATCCTTCAGTGATTAAAGGAAGGAAAGTTAACAGGAAAAAATTCCCTACAAGCACCTGCTGGAGCCAACCTGGAGGCTCCAAATCCACGGCACAGCCAACTCAAACCATGGATACTCACATTCCTAAATCCTTGATTATGGTAAATATTGGAGGGAGAAACACCCAGCACTTCTGATCCTGGCTGTAACCTGGGAGGGATTTGCAGCACAGGGAGAAGGGAGAGGAATGGAATGGGAATAACCTGGGAAAATGGAAGGAAACAGGATCCTTCCATGATTAAAGGAGGAATAGAATGGGGATAACCTGGGAAATGGGAAGGAAACAGGATCCTTCCATGATTAAAGGAGGAATGGAATGGGAATGACCTGGGAAATGGGAAGGGAACAGGATCCTTCCATGAATAAAGCAGGAATGGAATGGGAATAACCTGGGAAATGGAAGGAAAGAGGATCCTTCAGTGATTAAAGGAAGGAAAGTTAACAGGAAAAAATTCCTCACAAGCACCTGCTGGAGCCAACCTGGAGGCTCCAAATCCACGGCAAAGCCAACTCAAACCATGGATACTCACATTCCTAAATCCTTGATTATGGTAAATATTGGAGGGAGAAACACCCAGCACTTCTGATCCTGGCTGTAACCTGGGAGGGATTTGCAGCACAGGGAGAAGGGAGAGGAATGGAATGGGAATAACCTGGGAAAATGGGAAGGAAACAGGATCCTTCCATGATTAAAGGAGGAATGGAATGGGGATAACCTGGGAAATGGGAAGGAAACAGGATCTTTATATGATTAAAGGAGGAATGGAATGGGAATGACCTGGGAAATGGGAAGGAAATGGGATCCTTCAGTGATTAAAGGAAGGAAAGTTAACAGGAAAAAATTCCTCACAAGCACCTGCTGGAGCCAACCTGGAGGCTCCAAATCCACGGCAAAGCCAACTCAAACCATGGATATTTGGATTCCTAAATCCTTGATTATTATAAATAATGTAAAATAGAGAGGGAGAAACACATCCCTGAATACTGGTCCTGCCAGTGCCTTTAATTCTCTTTAATTCCCATCTCTTATTCCACCCCTGAAGTGACCAAGGCCAGGCTGACCTCATGGATCATCTGCTCCAACCTTTCCTGCCCACAGCAGGGTCTGGACAAGGTGCTCCAGCTGAACTCCCTCCAAATTATTCCACAAAGAGAGAGAAAAAAAAAATGGGATTTGTAATTTTTTAAGCTTTTTACAGATCCTGTCAAAGCTGAGGCTGATCCTCCCAGGCCTTCATCCCAGCTCCAGGGTCACATTCCCAGTACCACACTCAGCCTCTCCAAATCCCCAAATTAATACCATTTTTCCCTTCCCAGAGGCATCCAGGGATGTGGCCCATAGAAAATGCATCCCGTTATTCCCAATATTTAATGCCCATTTATGTGCAAGGATGGCAGAGTTTGCTCATGGATCACTGCAGGTTCCCACAGGAAAACCTCTGCTTTTCCAGAGCTTTGGGCTGCCAGGGGAAGGATGGGAGGGGAAATGCAGCATTGGCTGGGAAAAGCCTGGAACCGAGAGGAGAATCTGGAATTTCTGCAGGGTTTAAACCCACAGTTGTGTCCCCTCTTCCCTAAAAACCCCAGCATCCCTGGATGAGCTCTCCCATCCCTCAAACCCAGCCCTGCCCTCTCCTCCTCCTCCTCCCTTTGCTCCCTCTGGGAGATTTTCCCAACCCTTTCATTCCCTCCTGTGTTATCCAGATCCAGCACATTTTGCTCTATTTTGCCCAATTTTCAGCTCAGCTCCCAAAAGTAGGTCACAACATTTGGAACCTTATCCCAGTTATGCTTTAAAGACTCAGAAATTGCCTTTTTTTTTTTGTTTTTTTGCCCATTCCCTGTATAATTTCCAGGTTAATAATATTTCCCAAAACAAAGCCGGGGTTTAAAATTCCAAGAGTTATTTACAAAAGAGCTTTTCTTCCCTCATTTTGTTTGGAATTAATTTTTTGAGGAATTAAAACAAGGTCTGGTCTGCAGGTCAGGCCTGGAAGTTTTCCATGAGCTTTTCCAGGGAATTTTTATGGCAATATCACAAAACTTTTAGGGAAATAGCAGGGAGTTTATAGGGAAATATCAAGGAGACTTTAGGGAAGTGCAAGGGGGATTTAGGGAAATGTCAGGGAGTTTATAGGGAAATATCAGAGAGTTTTTAGGGAAGTATCCAGGAGTTCTGGGAAAATATCAGGAAGTCTTTATGAAAATATCAGGGTTTTTTTTTTAGGGAAGTATCAAGGAGTTTTCAGGGAAATACCAGGAGGTTTTTAAGGAAGTATCAGGAAATTTTTAGGGAAATATCAGGGCGGTTCAGGGGAAATCTCAGGGAGTTTTAGGGAAATATCAGGGGGGTTTTATGGAAATATCAGGAATTTTTTTTGAGAAATATCAGTTTTTTAGGGAAACATCAGGGAGTTTTTTAGGGAAATGTCAGGAATTTTTCATAGAGACATCAGGGAGTCTTTATGAAAACACCAAGGAGTTTTTAGAGGAATTTCAAAGAGATTTTAGGGAACTATCAGGGGGTTGGTAGGCAAAGATCTGGGGTTTTTAGGGAAGTATCTGGGGGGTTTTAGGGAAACATCAGGGAGTTTTTAGAGGAATATCAAGGAGTTTTTAGGGAAGCATACAGAGGGTTCACCTCCCTCTCTCTGGGCTCTGGTCTCCTGTCCTGGGGGAGCAGGGTGGGAACACTGGGACTCCACAACACGGCCCCAGATGGATCAAAGGTGCCCTGTACATTCCCTGTCCTGGACATTCCCTGTGCCTGGCAGCAGCTGGGAAATGCAGGAGCACCACATCCCAGCCAGGAGCTCCACATCCCCAACCCCACATCCTGGGAGAGCCCCAAAATCCATCCCCTTGGAGAGACCTCAGCACCAAAATCAATGCCCTGGAGAGAGCCCCAAAATCCATCCCCTTGGAGAGAGCCCCAGTGCCAAAATCCATCCCCCTGGAGAGCAAAAAAATCCATCTCGTTGGAGAGAGCACCAAAATCCATCCTCAGAGCACCAGTGCCAAAATCCCTCCACCTGCAGAGCACCAAAATCCATCTCCAGAGCACCAGTGCCAAAATCCATCCCCTGGAGAGAGCCCCAAAATTCATTACCCTGGAGAGAACCCCAAAAATCCATCCCCCTGGAGAGAGCCCAGCACCAAAATCCATCCCCTTGGAGAGAACCCCAGTGCCAAAATCCATCTCCTTGGAGAGAGCCCCAAAATCCATCTCCTCTGAGAGAACACCAAAATCCATCCCCAGAGCACCAGTGCCAAAATCCATCTCCTTGGAGAGAGCCCCAAAATCCATCCTCTTGGACAGAGCACCAGTGCCAAAATGCATCCCCCTGGAGAGAGCCCCAAAATTCATTACCCGGAGAGAACCCCAAAAATCCATCCCCCTGGAGAGAACCCAGCACCAAAATCCATCTCCTTTGAGAGAACACCAAAATCCATCTCTTTGGAGAGAGCCCCAAAATCCATCCCTTGGAGAGAGCCCCAAAATCCATCTCCTTGGAGAGAGCCCCAAAATCCATCCCCTTGGAGAGAGCCCCAAAATCCATCCCCTTGGAGAGAGCCCCAAAATCCATCTCCTTTGAGAGAGCCCCAAAATCCATCCCCTTGGAGAGAGCCCCAGTGCCAAAATCCATCTCCTTGGAGAGAGCCCCAAAATCCATCCTCTTGGAGAGAACCCCAAAATCCATCCCCCTGGAGAGAGCCCCAGTGCCAAAATCCATCCCCCTGGAGAGCAAAAAAATCCATCTCGTTGGAGAGAGCACCAAAATCCATCCCCTGGAGAGAGCCCCAAAATTCATTACCCTGGAGAGAACCCCAAAAATCCATCCCCCTGGAGAGAGCCCAGCACCAAAATCCATCTCCTCTGAGAGAACACCAAAATCCAACTCCTTTGAGAGAGCCCTAGCACCAAAATCCATCTCCTTGGAGAGAGCCCCAAAATCCATCTCCTTGGAGAGAGCCCCAAAATCATCCCCCTGGAGAGAGCCCCAGTGCCAAAATCCATCCCTCTGGAGAGACACCCCAACACCAACACCCCTCTGCAGCAAAGCCCAGCTCCAGCTGCCCCCCAGCTCTCCAGCCATGCCAGGAGCCAGGGGAACCCCGAGTTGTGCGGGTCCTGCAGGGAACCCCAGCCAGGCCGGGCGCACTCACCCGTGGTCTCCACGATGCCCTCGAGGATGACGACGATCTCGAACTGCTCCGTGTGCATGCTGCGCTGGGACAGGTCGTAGAAGGGGCTCTTGGAGTCGATGACGTGGCAGATGGTCAGGGGGGACACCAGGAAGAGCTGGTCAGCCCCCGTGCTGAAGCCCACGTCCAGCTCCAGCTGGTCCAGGGGCAGGAATTCTCCCTCCGGGGTCTGCCGGGACTGCGGGGGACAAGGAGGGGACATTGGAGCTGCTGGGAGTGCCCAGGGGAGCTGGGACAGGGCTTGGGGCAGCCTGGGAGAGCAGAGTCCCTGCACATGGGATGGGATCGAGAGCCCTTCCTGCCCGAACGTTCCAGGATTCCGGGATTTCACCAGGTGGAATCGGGAGTTTGGGGACCCCCAGAGAAACGGGGTGAGCCTCAGGGGGAGGGAAGGAAATGGTGCAATCCCAGAAAGTCCGGGTTGGAAAAGGCCTCCAAGATCAATTCCCAACCATTCCCAGCACTGCCCCAGGTCCCCAGGTGCCACATCCATGGCTTTACAATCCCTGCAGGAATGGGGCTCCATCCCAGGCTTTACAATCCCTGCAGGAATGGGGCTCCATCCATGGCTTTACAATCCCTGCAGGAATGGGGCTCCATCCATGGCTTTATAAACCCTGCAGGAATGGGGCTCCATCCCAGGTTCCTCAATCCCTGCAGGAATGGGGCTCCATCCCAGGTTCCACAATCCCTGCAGGAATGGGGCTCCATCCCAGGCTCTGCAATCCCTGCAGGAATGGGGCTCCATCCCAGGCTCTGCAATCCCTGCAGGAATGGGGCTCCATCCTAGGCTTTACAATCCCTGCAGGAATGGGGCTCCATCCCAGGCTCTGCAATCCCTGCAGGAATGGGGCTCCATCCCAGGTTCCTCAATCCCTGCAGGAATGGGGCTCCATCCCAGGTTCCTCAATCCCTCCAGGAATGGGGCTCCATCCCAGGCTTTACAATCCCTGCAGGAATGGGGCTCCATCCATGGCTTTACAATCCCTCCAGGAATGGGGCCCCACCCCTGCCCTGGGCAGCTGTGCCAGTGCCTGACCTTCCTTTCCCTTCCCATGGATAAATCTTTCCTAATATGCAATATTAGGAAATATTAGGAATATTAGCAAATACCTTTCCCAGCTGCAGGTTAAATTCCCACAGCACCAGCGCTGCCGTCCCTGTCCCTGGAATTCCCAGGGATCCAGCACATCCCTCCCAGCCCTGCTGTGGGACAGCTGCAGGGATCCAGGTGTTCCCAGATCCAGCTGGGATTGCACACACTCCCAGCTGCTCCCAGGGAATTCAGATGGAATTCCAGAGCTCAAATCCAGAGAAACCAAGTTTAATTTTACACCTCCCCAAGCCCCGGGAAGAATCCAACCCCAGGCAATTCCAGAGGGAACATTTTGCTAAGGAATGAACCCAGAGCGACTCCTTTGCTCCAACTGACAAGGGGGGAAAAGCTCAGGAATTCTGAGTGACATCCAAGCTCCTTCGGATCCCAAAAATCCATCCCAAAACTCCTATTACATCCAAAGAGGCTTGGCACAGATTTCCCACTTGGAGGCTGTGGGGTTGCTTTTGCTCCTGGCCTGAGCTCAGCAGGAAAAATGAAGGAATATTTCCCCTATGGACTGGGATTGCCAGCTCCCCCCAGCTCTGCAGGAAAAGCACCTTTTCCATAACAAAAACCCTTCCCAAAGGAGACCTGACCCCGGGGGCTGGCACAGGTGGGAGCCAGCCTGGCAGGAGCTCTGGGAGGAATTCCTGAATTCCTGAATTCCACATCCCTGTGCCCCAAAGCTGGGAACACCGGCCAGGCCTGGCTCTCCCTGCTGCAGCCCCTGGCTCCTCTTTGTTCCTCCTTTTCCCTCCTTGTTTCCCAATTTATTGGTTTTCTTCCCCCCCCCTCCCCTTTTTCCTTTTCTCCCCTTCCCCTTCTTTTTTGTTTTCCTTTTCCCTTTTTTCCTTTTATTTCCTTTTCATTTTTTCCCTTTATTTTCCCTTTCCCTCATTTTTTTTTAGTTTTCCTCTTATTCTCCCCCTTGTGGGTCCCTTTTATTTTCCCTTTCTCCTCTACATCCCTTTTTCTTTTATTACATTTTTTGTATTTTTTTACCCTTTCCCCCTTTTATTTTCCCATGCCTTTTATTTTCCTTTTTTCTTTGATTTTTTCCTTTTATTTCCCTTTTTCCCCTTTTTAATTTTATTTTTAATCTTATTTTCCCTTCCATTTTCCTTTCCCCTGCTTTTTTCATTTTACTTTTCCCTTTTATTTTGCTCTTCCCCCATTTTTTCCTTCTAATTATCCCTTTTTCCATTTTTTCCCCCTTCCTTTTTTTTTTCCCCAGGAGGCCTGGCCTGGCTCTGCTTCCCTTCCAAGCACAAACCTTTCTCTTCCCATAATTCAAATCCAGGCAATTCTTTTGGAGCCACACTAAGTTTAAATCTCCATCTTTTAAAATTCCTCCTCTGGGACTTCCAGAGCCCAAAAAAAAAAGAGCAATTTTCAAATGCTGAACTGGAAATTACTCATTTTTGATCTTTTATAGCTTGAAACATATGAAATTATTTAAATATATTGATACAGTATGCAAATATATATTTACACATTATTAAATACTTTAAAATAAACTGTATTAATTATATATTGTTAAATATAAATATTTATGATTGCATATTACATAAATCCACGCTATTATGTTTTAATGCTATTTTATACATTTATCCTTATAAATAATATTTATAAATAATATTTATTATATTTATAAATAATATTCCATCATTTTAAAGGTATTAAAGGGTTATTTGGGGAGATTTTTAGGAATTCTTTCCCTCTTTGAGGCACAGACTCCCTCAAGGTTCAGGGGACCCCAACACTGGGCCAGTCCTGATCCTGAAATCACACGGGAAACAGGGATTTGGGAGAACAGGACACGGGGATTTGGGAGAACAGGACATGGGGATTTGGGAGAACAGGACATGGGGATCTGGGAGGACACGGGACACTCATCCCAAGGACAGGACATCCCCATTCCCTACAGGATATCCTAAATCCCTGCAGGACAGCCCCAATCTCACCAGGATATCCTAAATCCCACCAGGACACTCCCATTCCCTGCAGGATATCCTAAATCCCTGCAGGACACCCTAAATCCCTGCAGGACACCCTAAATCCCTGCAGGACACCCTTCCAATGGACAGGACACCCATCCCAAGGACAGGACAGGACTCCCCCATTCCCTGCAGGACACCCATCCCAAGGACAGGACTCCCCATTCCTTGCAGGACACCCATCCCAAGGACAGGACTCCCCATTCCTTGCAGGACACCCCATTCCCTGGAGGACACCCCCATTCCCTGCAGGACACCCATCCCAAGGACAGGACTCCCCCATTCCCTGCAGGACACCCATCCCAAGGACAGGACTCCCCATTCCTTGCAGGACACCCATCCCAAGGACAGGACTCCCCATTCCTTGCAGGACACCCCATTCCCTGGAGGACACCCCCATTCCCTGCAGGACACCCATCCCAAGGACAGGACTCCCCATTCCTTGCAGGACACCCATCCCAAGGACAGGACTCCCCATTCCCTGCCCAGCCCCCCTGCATGTATCCCGATTCCCGGGGGTCCCTGTGGGATGCTCCGCGTGCACCAAACCCCCCCCGAGCCGGCTCCTTCCTCCCACCGGCTCCATCCCCATCCCCATTCCCCATTCCCGACTCCCATTCCCGACTCCCATTCCCGCTCCCCTCTGGATCCGCGGCTGCCGGGCGAGCCTCGGACCAGCGCCGGCTCTCCCAGCCCTCCGGGGCAGGGATGCTCCAGGGCCAGGGATGCTCCGGGGCCAGGGATGCTCCAGCTTTAACCCTGGCACTCCGCTTTCCTTGGAGCTCACGTCAATAAAGTTCAGCCTGCCCAAAAAGCTCTGGATTATGCCCGGAGCTTTCTCCTTCCCGGCTCACGGAAGGCTCGGAGCTATAAAGGATTTGATTTCCTTGTCAGGGAAACGGAGCATTTTATAGGAATCTATAAATACCCATCCCAATCCTGCGCTGAATGTAGGAATTATCTCCGAGGAGGCTGGGAATGCGCTGCTGATGGCTGAGCCCGCAGCCCGAGGCTCCGGGAGATGTTCCCTGCGCCAGGAAAGCAGGGCAGGGATGCTGGGACAGCGGCAGGACCCAAAACACGATCTGGGATCAGCCAGTCCGACCCCCGGCCACAGGCAGGGCCGCATTCCATGGACCGGGCTGCTCCAAGCCCCCGGGACGAGGGGACAGCCACGGGCAGGAGCAAGGGACCTCCAAGGGACACGGAGAGGGGCTGGGATGTCCCCAGGGAAGCGGCAGTGGGGCCACGGTTCTGTCACAGAACCATGGAATTTAGGTGGGAAAAGCCCTCCAGGACCACGGAGTCCAATCATCCCCAGCACTGCCAAAACCCTCACAGAATTAGTGAGGTTGGAAAAGCCACCCAAGACCATGGAATCCGACCATTCCCAGCAGTACCTGGGCCTCCATGGAATTACTGAGGTTGGAAAAGCCCCCCCCAAGAGCAAGGAATCCGACAATTCCCAGCACTGCCAGGGAACCCATGAAATCATTGAGGATGGAAAAGCCACCCAAGGCCATGGAATTCAACCATTTCCAGCACTGACAGGGCCCTCACAGAATTATTGAGGTTGGAAAAACCCCCCAAGACCATGGAACCCAACCATACCCAGCACTACCTGAGCCTCCATGGAATTACTGAGGTTGGAAAAGCCACCCAGGACCATGGAACCCAACCATACCCAGCACTTCCTGAGCCTCCATGGAATTACTGAGGCTGGAAAAGCCACCCAGGACCATGGAATCCAACCATTCCCAGCACTCCCAAGGCCCTCACGGAATTACTGAGTTTGGAAAAGCCCTCCAAGGCCACCAAGTCCAACCATCCCAACCATGCCCAGCACTGCCAGGGCCCCCACGGAATTACTGAGGCTGGAAAAGCCACCCAAGACCATCGAGTCCAACCACCCCAACCATTCCCAGCACTACCAAGACCCCCACATCCCCAAGCGCCACCTCCACGTGGGATGGGGACTCCCCCACTGCCCCGGGCACCTTTCCAGGAGGGAATTTCCCCCCGGAGCACCCACCTTGAGCAGCTTGCAGCGGATCTGGGCGGACACCATGTGGCTGTTGCGGAGGTTGCCCACGCGGAACATGAGCGTGAGCTTTCCGTCGCGCATGGAGATGGCGGCGTGCTCGCTGAACATCAGCGTCTCCGCCCTCTTCTTGGGCTGGGACATCTTGATGAACATGCAGCCGATCAGGAAGGCGTCCACGATGGAGCCCAGGATGGACTGGAAGAGGAAGAGGATGATGCCCTCGGGGCACTTGTCGGTGATGTAGCGGTAGCCGTAGCCGATGGTGGCCTCGGTCTCGATGAAGAAGAGGAAGGCGGAGGGGAAGTTGTACACGTTGGCCACGCACGGGGTGTAGCTGTCGTCGTGCGCCTTGTTGAGGTCCCCGCGCATGTAGGCGATCACCCACCACATGGAGGCCATGAAGAGCCAGGCCACGGTGTAGGTGAGGATGAAGATGAACAGGTTCCAGCGCCACTTGAGGTCCACCAGCGTGGTGAAGAGGTCGGACAGGTAGCGGCTGGTCTCGCCGCCCAGGTTGCCGTGCTGCACGTTGCAGCGCCCGTTCTTGTCCACGAAGCGCTGGCGCTTCCCGCGCGGGGCGCTGCGCGGGGGCGGGAGGCCTCCGCCGCTGGCCGAGGTGCTCACCACCTGGTACTCATCGCCCAGCTTGCGCCGCAGCGCCGACATGCTCCGCGCAGCCCCGCGCAGCCCGCACGGTCCGCGCAGCTCCGCACAGCCGGCAAAACCCGCGCAGCCACCGACACCGACACCCCGCGCAGCCGGAAAGATCCGCGCAGACACCGACACCGACACCCCGCGCAGCCGGAAAGATCCGCGCAGACACCGACACCGACACCCCGCGCAGCCGGAAAGATCCGCACAGCCGGCAAAACCCGCGCAGCCACCGACACCGACACCCCGCGCAGCCGGAAAGATCCGCGCAGCCGGCAAAACCCGCTCAGCCACAACACCCGCACAGCTCCGCGCAGCCACAACACCCGCACAGCTCCGCGCAGCCACAACACCCCGCTCAGCCGGCACGGTCCGCGCAGCCACCGACACCCCGCGCAGCCGGCAAGATCCGCGCAGCCACAACACCCGCGCAGCTCCGCGCAGCCCCGCTCAGCTCCGCATCCCCCGCGCAGCCCCGCGCAGCCCGCCCGGCTCCGCCGCGCCGCGGCCGCGGAGCCTCCGCCCGGCGCCGCCGCCTCCCACGCGGAGCCGCCGGCAGCGGCCCCGGGCAGGGCGGCACCGCCCCGCGCAGCGACACCCCCCGAGCACCGCCCCGCGCACCGCCCCGCGCACCGCCCCTGGATCCCGCACCGCCCTCCGCACCGCCCCGCGCAGCGACACTCCCGACACGCCCCCCGCACCGCCCCTGGATCCCGCACCCCCCGTGCCCCTGCGCGCCTCAGCGACCCCGCGCACACCCCGCCCTCCGCAGCCTCGGTGCGCGCCGCATCTTCATCCTCAGCATCCTTCACTTCCCCCGGCATCATCCTCCTCCTCCTCCGCATCTTCCTCTCTCCCCAGCATCCTCCCCCGGGCCTCCATCCCTCCTCCTCCCTCGGAGCGGCTCCAGCTCCCACAGAACCAACCAGGAGGGGCCGAGGAGGTCGGGCACTTCTATTCTATTCTATTCTATTCTATTCTATTCTATTCTATTCTATTCTATTCTATTCTATTCATTTATTTTTGTTTTCTATTCCATTTTACTTCTTATTCTTCCTTCTATTCTATTCTATTCATTTATTTTTGTTTTCTATTCCATTTTAATTCTTATTCTTCCTTCTATTCTATTCTATTAATTTATTTTTGTTTTCTATTCCATTTTAATTCTTATTATTCCTTCTATTCTATTCCATTCTATTCTATTCTATTCCATTCCATTCCATTCTACTCCATCCCATCCCATTTTTACCTTCATTACATTTGATTTTAAGTTTTTGAGCTGTTTAGATCCCCACGGCAGCCAGGCAGCACCGCCAGGACACAGAGGGGACACAGCCCCTTCCACCTGGGAAGAATTCCCCTGAGAGAAGCCACAGAGCTCAGCCCTGATCCAGGACCGGTGGGAAGCAGGAAACCAGCCCCAAAATGTGGATAAATCCAGGGAATCACGGAGCAGTTTGGGTGGGAAGGGGGCTGCTGATGCTCCAAAGGGCCAGGCTGGATCCAAGGGTGCTCCTCACCACTCCTGCTCCAGGACTGCTGCCAGCAGCTCCAGAAAAAACTTGGATCGGCAGCTTTGACCATGGGATAAAGCCCAGCCACACCTCATATTTTAACCATTATCCCTTCATCTTCCTTAGAACAGATTCCCAAGGATTTTTTCTGGCCACTGCATTTCTATTCAAGCTGTTTGTTTTTTTTTTTTTTTCAGAAAATTAATTTAGTTTTTTAGTTTCTCACTTTTCTGTTTTCTATTCCCAACTTCTCCTGTTCCCCAGCCTTTTTTCCTGTGATTGACACAATGCCTGTTAATTTTCCCACCCAATTAAAGGAAATTTTGCATGGAATTCATCCCAAACTCTGGCCATGCTGCCAGAGCCCTCCTGGCTCACAGACCCAGCAGCCCTGCCAGCTTCCCCTCTCCTATTTCTCCTTCCTCCATCCCTCCTGTTTTCCCAGAGGCCCCTCCCTGAGCTGGAATTGGGCAAAGATTCCCTGTGATCCATCCCAATGTGACAGTGACAATCCAAGGGGAGCCATTCCCTGTAATTACTGCAATTAAAATCCTCCTTGCTTTTAGGGGCATGAGCAGATTCCCAGCACTGCCAGCATTCTCTGCCAGCCAGGGTGGGATGAGGGAATAGTGGCAGTGGGAAAGGAGTGGTGGACATGGAACAGCGTCCCCCAGAGGGTCCTGGGGACAGGAGGCTGCTCCAGGCAGCCCTGGCAGAGCTGTTCCCCTGGAATGATGGAATTCCCAGCTGATCCTGCCATGGCTGGGACATTTCCACCATCCCAGGCTGCTCCATCCTGCCCTGGGCACTGCCAGGGATCCAGGGGCAGCCCCAGCTGCTCTGGGAATCCCAGCCCAGCCAGGAATTCCCAATTCCCAATGTCCCATCCATCCCTGCCCTCTGGCACTGGCAGCCATTCCCTGGCTCCTGTCCCTCCATCCCTTGTCCCCAGTCCCTCCTCTGGAGCCCCTTCAGGCCCTGCCAGGGGTTCTGAGCCCTCCCTGGATCCTTCCCTTCTCCAGGGGAGCATTCCCAGCTCTCCCAGCCTGGCTCCATGGCTCCTCTGGACTCTCCAGCAGCTCCACATCCTCCCTGTGCCGATTATCCCACAAACCCAACCTTCCCCTGCCTGCTGCCATCCCAGCTTTCCCATCCCAGGCCCGAGGTTTGTGTTTGGATCCATTTAAACTCACCTGGGCAGGAGCTCCCTCTGGGGCTCCTTTCCCTGTAATTCCATTTCTTACCTGCAATTCCCTGATTTCAGCACCTGGAGGCTTTCCCAGGCTTTAGCTGATGTGGGGATGATGACAAATGAAATGATGAAATTCATGGTGTGTTCCCTGAATGAACAGATACATTCCCAAACCTGTCTCTGCCAATCCCACTGCTTGGATGTGGATCTGAGGGCAGATCCTGCTGTTTTTCCTTGGAAAAATCATTTCCAGTTTGAAATGGGAGTTGGAGCAGGCAGTCACGGCACCAGCACCAGGATATTCCTGACCTAAAAAATATCCTAATATCCCTCTGGATGAATCCCTAAATCCCTTAAATAAATGCCCAAAAAAAGAAAGGGATAAATCAGGGAAATGAGATGGAGGTTGGTTCCCTCACTGTAATTTTCTGTCAATCCTAATTATTAACATTTCTGAGAAATTCCAAAAAAAAAGGGGAAATACCTCCATGCCTGCATTCATCCCTCCCAAAGGGATTATTGGGTGATTCATTCCCAGGCTCCGCAGCCCATCATTAACAGGAACAGTTAATTACCTCTAAAGGCTTTAATTACCAGCAGGGGAGGCTGGGCCGCACCAGGGTTTGGTGTCACCTGCAGCTCCAACCCCCCAGACACCTGCAGGGACAACCTGGAGCAGGGAATTACTGAGAAAAGGGATTTTAGTTGGGCTTTTTCCATGGTTTTTGGACAAGGAAGCAACTCTGGATGTGGGGAATCTCATTAAATGAGTCGTTAATTAGTCCTTTTGTGATTTGGTTGATTGAAGGGCACTGCAGCAGTGTAGGATGAATTACAGAATTATGTATTAATATAGAAATTCTATTTATAAAATCCTGGTTTTGTGAACAGCTCCAGCTCTGATGTCAAGGAGCCTTGGGAAGGGACAGGGCAGTGTTTGTTGGGAATGTGGAGCTGTCCCCCTCTGGAGCCAGGGGTGCTCCACAGGAAGGTGGCACCGCCCTGTCCCTGTCCCCAGCTCATTCCCCACCTCCTCCTTCCCACCCCAGAACCACCCAGGGCTGGGCTGTGGCCAAAGCCCTCGGGAAGGAGGTGAAATAAATAATGGATTCCTCTTCTCCTGCGTGGAAATTCCTGTTTAAACTTCATCCTGACGTTTTCCTGCTCTTTTAACGAAGCAGAACAAATCCTCCGCCTTTTCTGGGGGATCTTTTAAACCACATTTTGTATTTTTGGAGGATGAGCAGGAGGCTAGAGATGAACCCCAATACAAGTTAATCCAGGATATTCCAGCTCCATGGATGCCCAGCAATCCCTGTCCCAGCTGAACCCCCTCCTGCTTCCCCTTTAATGCTCAGTGTCCAGGAAATCTCCTCTGTCATTTACACCATCCATAGACCCCAGGATGAATCCAGAACCAGCAGAGCAGATACAGAAAATACCAGCATTTTTAATGACCCAGTGCATTTACAGAGATTTCTGGGGAATTGTGAGGGAAATCCTGGGAAACATTTCCCCACTTACCCGTGCTGGGATCCCGCTGCCCTGGGATTTCAGTCTCCTGAACCCTCTGGGCAGTGAGAATTCCCAAAATCCCAGCCCAGAGGGCCAGAGCCGCATTTGGGGTGGCTCCCACAGGAATGTCCCTGTCCCCACATGCCAGCAGGGAGCAGCTCCTGAGGGCCAGCAGCGCTTTGGGAACATTGGGAACAGCCACACCCACGCAAGGACTGAGCCCCCAGATTCCTGAAACCAGAAAGGAGCCCCTGTGATTCCAGGGAACGCCTGGAGGCAGAGCTGGGAGCGGATCCGGGGACAGAGCTGGGTGCAGGGACTCATGGATGTGTTGGCATGGAGGGATGGAGACCCTCCGAGCTCCAGAGGTCTCAGTTTTGGTCCTTCCAGGTGTCCCCCGAGCCCCAGGTCCAGCTCCATTCCCATGGAAGGAGGGGACAGCTCCCCCCATGCCACCCTGAGGTCCCACGGGTGTCACTCCTTCCCCTCGGCATCCGCGCGTCTCCTGCGGCCTCATCTCTTGGAATTCCTGCTGAGGTGCACTCTTGGCCTGGTTCTCCCAACGCTGGGTCCTGTTTTATCCCAGCACAACCCAGGACGCTCTGGTGCTGTCAAATCCCACTGGGCACGAGAGAACAGCCGAGATCCCCCAGGATTTCCTCCAGGAGAGCCCAGCACATCCCAGCAGCTCGGACCACACCTCCCCGGATGGTCCCAGTGCCAGCTGGGGCCACAGGGCCCTCAGGCTGGGCCACCCCTCCCTGGTGACATGGGACAGTGACACCTCCATAGCCCAGCTTCTCCAAGGTGCCTCTGGAATCTCTGGAGTGACAGCAATGCCCCCATATCCCAACTTCTCCAAGGTCAGATGATACCTCTGGAATCTCTGGAGTGACAGCAACGCCCCCATATCCCAACTTCTCCAAGGTCAACTGGTGCCTCTGGAGTGACAGCAAAACCTCCCTATCCTGACTTCTCCAAGGTCAGATGATGTCTCTGGAGTGACAGCAACACCTCCATATCCCAACTCCTCCCAGGTCAGCTGATACCTCTGGAATCTCTGGAGTGACAGTGACACCACCCTATCCACCTTCTCCAGGGCCAGCTGCTGCCTCTGGAGTAACAGTGACACCTCCCTATCCCAGCTTCTCCCAGGTCAGCTGACGGCTCTGGAATCTCTGCAGTGACAGCAATGCCTCCATATCCCACCTCCTCCAAGGTCAACTGATACCTCTGGAATCTCTGGAGTGACAGTGACACCTCCCTACCCCACCTTCTCCAAGGTCAGCTGATACCTCTGGAATCTCTGGAGTAACAGCGACACCTCCCTATCCCACCTTCTCCAAGGTCAGATGATGGCTCTGGAGTGACAGCAATGCCTCCCTACCCCACCTTCTCCAGGGTCAGATGATGTCTCTGGAATCTCTGCAGTAACAGCAACGCCTCCCTATCCCAGCTTCTCCAAGGTTAACTGGTGCCTGTGGAGTGACGCAAAACCTCCCCATCCTGACTTCTCCAAGGTCAGATGATGTCTCTGCAGTAACAGCAACACCTCCATATCCCACCTTCTCCCAGGTCAGCTGATGGCTCTGGAATCTCTGCAGTGACAGCAACGCCTCCCTACCCCATCTTCTCCAGGGCCAGCTGCTGCCTCTGGGACCTGCAGCCTGCTGCCGTCGGCCCCAGCAGATCCCGGATCCCCTGGAGAGTCCCAAGGGCAGGGCGGCCCCAGGAGCCCCCGGTGACCCTGCCGGGAGCAGCGGGAGCAGCGGGATGCGGTGGGAATCACGCCGGCAGGGTCATGTTGCGCAGCAGCCACTGCTGGGCGCGGCCGCCGCCGCAGTCGCGCACGGTGGGCACCAGCCGGTCCTCGTCCGACGGCTCCGCCAGGCACTGGTTGCTGTTCAGGTGCCTCAGGGTGAGCTTCTGCAAGAGGGGGGACAGAGAATTCCTGCTGAAAACACAGCGTCCCACTGGAATTCTGCAGCCGCCATGTTTTCTGAAAAATCCCTTTGCCGGGATTTTTCTCCTGAGAAGCTGAGAGGCCTCAGAGGAAAAGAAAAACAAAATTATCTGCTGCTGTGGAGTGCAACAGGTGAATCTGGGATTGGGCTGATGTGGTTGTTTCTAATTAATGGCCAATCACAGCCCAGCTGTCTTGGACTCTCTGGTCAGTCACAAGATTTTATTATCATTCCATTCCTTGCCTTGCTACCCTTCTGATGCAATCCTTTCTTCTATTCTTTTAGTATAGTTTTAATATATCATTTTAATATAATATTTATCATAAAATAATCAATCGCTTCTGAAACACAGAGTCAAGATTCTCATCTCTTTCCTCATCATGGGACCCCTGTGAACACCACCACAGAATTCCACCTGGGAAATTGAAATTTCCCGGCATTCCAGGCCAGGTTTGGCCACTGGAGCAAATCTGCTGGAGCTCCAGGACAGCCCCACCACCCCTCAGGACAGCCCCAACAAACCCCTCAGCAAAGGGAAGGGAATTCCAAGGAAATCTTGTATTCCCAAGGCACAGCTGCTGGATGGAGGAGTTTGGTCTCCACAGCCATGGATACGTGGAATGTCTGGGACCAGAGCAGGAATTTTTTGTTGCTGATGGAAACGTATTTGCTCAGTATTCCACGGAAATGCTTCTGTTCCTTTCTTGGGACACCTCCTCTGATCCCACCCCATTTCTGTGGGATGGGAGAATTAGGAAGACACAAAACGAACTGGAGGGAATAAAACACCACCTTTTCCACAGGGAGAACAAATTCCCAGAGAAATCCCAGGAAGTTAAACAGGAAACTCTGCCCTTAAGTAACACCAGAGAGGTTCAGTCCCAGCTGAGCTGGGAGCATTCCCACCACCATCCCCTGGGATTGTGCCAGGGCTTCCCCACCCTCCCAGCTGGGAATTCCCAATTCCCAATGTCCCATCCATCCCTGCCCTCTGGCACTGGGAGCCATTCCCTGGCTCCTGTCCCTCCATCCCTTGTCCCCAGTCCCTCTCCAGCTCTCCTGGAGCCCCTTCAGGCCCTGCCTGGATCCTTCCCTTCTCCAGGGGAACATTCCCAGCTCTCCCAAGAACCCTGGGAATGGGGAGCTGCAGGGTGGAAATCCTGTCTGCAGATCATCCACTGGAGCAGAGCTTGATTTTATGGCAAGGGAACAAACAGGGAAAACCAGGATGGGCAGGAAAATCCCGGAGCTCTCAGGAAAGGAGGAATTAATCCCAAAATTCATCCCAAACAGCCCAGGCTGATGTCAAACCTTGGGATCTCCTCAGGGATAGAGGAGCTGGAATGGTGGGAGATGTTTGAGGTCTTGGGCTCACCCAGGAGGATAAATATTGATATAATATTAAAAAATATATATAAATTAAATAAATTATAGAAAAAATGATATAAATTAATATAAAATATACGATTATAAAGAATATAAAAATATTAAATAATATAGATTACTATATGTTATGTACAATATAACCAAATATAAAAAATAGTATAGAATACAAAATTTAAGGGACTAAAAATAGATTAAATAATATAATCTAGAATAATATAAAAGATGTGATTTATAAAATAATATACTAATAATATAGCACCCAATAATATAAAATATTAATTAAAATAAAATAAAATAATAATACTCCTAACTGAAGGAAAATCAGGAATTATTTTCACAAGAGTCTGATGCTCTCAAGGCTCATAAACACCATTTATGTTCATTATTTATGATATTTCTATATAATGTTATATTTACTGAAAAATACAGCGTTATGCTTATATATTACATAATAAATATATGGGTGTTTATGAGTGTAAATTTATAACTATTATAGTTCTATATATTTTAATTTTATATAGAAATAAAAAATTACAAAATAAATACACATATATATAAAAAATTAAATATATATAGATATAAAGAAAGACTTTTTCCTAGTGTTCCAACTAAACTGGTGGGAAATTCCAACAAGGAATTTGGTTTTCCTACCACCCATCTCCTTGTGCTACTCCACTGAATGGGAAGACTTCCATGAAAAGTACAGGAAAAAAAATCTATTAAAAAACCAAATTCTAGGAAAATTCTAGGAAAAGTCTGTGGATAATCCTAGGAAAAGTGGAACCTTTTTGAGAAAATATTTTGCAACTGGAATTAGTTTTATGTCCTGGAATAGGAACCAAATCTTCAGCTCCTGCAGATTGGAACAATCATGGTGACAGCAAGAGATCAAGGGAGTTTAATTCATCCAAAATCAATTAAAACTAACAATAACTAAGACTAATAATTACTAGTAACTAATAACTATTAAAAACTACAAGAGCTAACACTAAACATCTTTTCTATCATACAGCTATAAAATCCTCTTCTGTCTTGTTTTATAGGAAAAAATTGATATGAAAAATTGTATTAAATTATATGAAAACTCTATGGGAAAAATATTAGATTTTATGAAAATTCTATCAAAATTATATTAAAATTCTACAAAAAATTATATCAACATTCTATGAAAACTCCATGAAAAACTATACGAAATAACTGTATGAAAATTCTGTGAAATAATTGTAAGAAAATTCTATGAAATAATTGTATGAAAATTCTATGAAATAATTGTAAGAAAGTTTTATGAAATAACTGTATGAAAATTCTGTGAAATAATTGTAAGAAAATTTTATGAAATAATTGTATGAAAATTCTATGAAATAATTGTAAGAAAGTTTTATGAAATAATTGTATGAAAATTCTATGAAATAACTGTACGACAATTATATGAAAAAAGTGTTAGAAAATTATATGAAAATTCTACAAAAGATCCATGAAAATTTAATGGAAAATTCCATGGAAAATCGCATGGAACGATGAAAACTGTGTGAAAAAGCATTTCAAAAATTCTCATAAAATTCCCTGAAACATTCAATGAAGATCTATGAATTCTGTGAAAAACGAACAGCGGCGAAACCGCCAAAAAAAATAAATAAATAAATTTCAAAAGTACAAAAAATTCCACCCAAAACTAAAACAAGACAGAAACTCCACTGGGCTCCTCCAGCAGAGCCCGGAGCAGGAAGATTCCCTGGCAATTCCTTACCACATCCCAGCTCTCCTCCCAGTCCCGACGGCCCTACAGGAAGTAATCAGTGGGGCTGGAGTAAACCTTCCTAAAGACTTCCAGGCGGGAGTAATTCCTGAGGCTCCAGGTCTGCAGGGCGCTCCCGTCGCAGGCCTCCACCGTGGGGCCCTGGGAGCCGTCCTCCACCCTGCCCAGCGTCAGGCACGACTGCGTGATGATGTGCAGGAACGTGCGCCTCTGGAAAAGCGGGAGCGGCGCGGAAAACCGGGAATTGTTCACGGAGAGCGGGATGGGAACGCGCCGGGGACAGGCGGGGATGGGCGGAGGGGAATTCGTGGGGCTGAATGGCACACAAAATCTCCTCCCTGCTCTGGAGAGCGTTCCCATGATCCAGACTGTAGCTCCAAATCCTGTTCTCCCTGCCCTTGGATTGCTATTCCCCATTGGGAAGATCCACAGATGGGGTTTTCCTAGAAATATCCCAAAACTTCCACCTTGCTCTTGAGAGCGTTCCCATGATCCAGACTGTGGCTCCAAATCCTGTTCTCCCTGCCCTTGGATTGCTATTCCCCACTGGGAAGATCCACAGATGGCGTTTTCCTAGAAATATCCCAAAACTTCCACCTTGCTCTTGAGAGCAATTCCCATGATCCAGATTGTGGCTCCCAATCCTTTTCTCCCTGCCCTTGGATTGCTGCAATTCCCCACTGGGAAGATCCAGGCAGAGTTGGGTTTTGTTCTGCACAAATATCCCAAAATTTCCTCCCTGCTCTTGAGCCCATTCCCAAGATCCATGTTGGAACACAGCTCTCAATCCTGCCTCTCCAGCCCCTTGGATGGCTGTGATTCCCCACCGGAAAAATATGAGCACAGATGGGGTTTTTCCTGCACAAATCACCCTAAACCCCATTTGGGAATTATCCAATTAAAACCAGAATTCATTAAACATTGGGGTTTGTTTTTGTGGGTTTTTTTGGTTTTTTTCCCCACAATTCCAGCTGTTCCTTTCCAGTGCCAATTCCAGGTGGGGTGAGATGAAGGGGAGCTTACACTTCTCTAAATTCTCTAAATGTGGAATGCTCTTCCCACATCCCTCCCCCGCTCCTTTTCCATGTTTTTGGCTTGGGAATGGAAAAAGTGACATGAAGATAAAGGAACCACTAAAAATACCAGAGCCCAGTGTCCCTAAAATGTCACTTGGAGTCACGGGCAGGGACAGCACTCCCTGTTCCCTCCTGTCCATCAGCCCTTCCAGGGAGAGCACAGGTCCATCAGTACAGGAATTCTCTCTCTGCTGTTCACAGGATATGAAATATCCAAAGGTGGCAGATTCCTCACATGGGGATAAACATCAGTGTGGGAATCTGAGCAGGCTTTTCTTGGTATGTGGATTCATGGGATGGTTTGGGGTGGAAAGACCTTAAATCCCATCCCATCCACCCCTGCCATGGCTGCTCCAAGCCCCAGTGTCCAGCCTGGCCTGGGACACCTCCAGGGATCCAGGGACAGCCCCAGCTTCCCTGGGAATCCCAGCCCAGCCAGGAATTCCCAATTCCCAATGTCCCATCCATCCCTGCCCTCTGGCACTGGCAGCCATTCCCTGGCTCCTGTCCCTCCATCCCTTGTCCCCAGTCCCTCTCCAGCTCTCCTGGAGCCCCTTCAGGCCCTGCCAGGGGCTCTGAGGTTTTCCTGCATCCTTCCTTTCTCCAGGGGAACATTCCCAGCTCTCCCAGCCTGGCTCAGGGAGAGGGAAGCTCTGGAATGTTGGAGCAGCAGCTATGGAGAAGCTCTGAGTGAGGGCACTGCTACAGGAGCTATTCCAGGGATTGGGATTTGGCACAGGGATTGCACCAGACTTACCTCAAAGCTATACTCCCATTTCCCAAAATACTGAGGGAAGGGAAGACAGAAGGAAAGCGGAGTCAGTGATTCAAGGAACATTTTTTGTGCAGCCCCTCAGCTCTCCCTGGATGGAAATCCCACAACTTTGCAGGGACACCGCGACTGGGGACAAACAGTGGCAATTATCCAGGAAAAAAAATCATGGAATTCTGAGCGGGGAGGGATCCACAGGGATCACAGATCCAAACCTTGGCCCTGCCAGGATATCCCACAAGCCCATCCTGTCCCTGAGAGCCTTGTCCAAACACTCCTGGAGCTCTGGCAGCCTTGGAATAAACCCTGAGGGATCTGTCAGGAATAAATGCTGAGGAGCTTTTCAGGAACAAACCCTGACATCACCACCCTTGCACAAGGAATTAAACTCCTTTCCCATCAGCTGTGACACATTTCCAACTTCATTTTTTCCCTGGATCCCTTCGTGCATGTCACGTGCCAGGATCTCATCCTTCTCCACATCCAGAGGTTTCTCCAGATGTCACAATGGGAATCACCAGGTGTGGGAGCCTGGAATCTATTCAGTATTTAAATACCACAAATTAAATTAGAAAATTATAAAAATAGTAGCAGGAAATCATAGAAAATTCCATGAAAATCCGTCAGAGAAACCCCTTTTTAGGATTATTTCATGTCCAGCTGTGGCCATGTTGTCCATTGCCAAGCCAGAATTCCTAAAAATTCCTAAAAACCACTCAAGATCCCTCCATGCAATGCCTAAATAAGCAAGGTAAGGAAAAATCAGTGTAATTCCACTGGAAAATTAAATTAATGAATACAAGGGATTCAGGAAATATCCTGTAATTGCTTCTCTTGGGAAAAAAAATTGGAATATCACAACTGGTTGTTTTCTTGGGAAAAAATTCCTGGATATTAGGAATGATTGGAGGTTAATAATACACTAACAAATATATAATAATGGCAATAATGAAATGAAAGGGAAAATGGGCAGCTGAAATCTGAATATTCCAAGGAAAATTGGCAATAAAAAGCTTTGCTCAGTAAATCCAGGGACAGGGAATGCAATGGGATGTTTTCCAGGAGAACAAGCAGCCAGTCCTTGGAGATGCCATAAAACCATGGAGTATTCCTGTTTTAGGAGCTCCATCTCATGGCCGAGCTGGGATTTACACAATTCCTGGGAAATTCTGCTCAGTTTAAGGCAAAAACCAGCACATTGCCTGTGTGTATTTTATTGGAAGAATTCCAGCCTTCCAGGCAGGAAGGGTGGAGGTGACCAAGGAATTCCTGGATGTAGCTGGGCTGGGGACAAGGTGGGGATGGGGCACAGCTTGGACCTGATGACCTGGGAGGGCTTTTCCAGCCTCAGGGTGGACACCAGCAGGAATTTCCCCATGGAAAGGGTGACACTGTCACATTTTCTGGAAAAATCTCTTTGCCCCCGATTTTCTCCAGGGAAGCTGAGAAGCCTCGGAGAAAAAATGAAAACAATAATTATCTGATTTGCTTCTCCTGTGTTTTGCTGCTTTGGAATGTGGGTTGGACACTGTCTACCACCTGGTCATTGTTTCCTTGGTTCCATGTGAATTGTTTTTATTTATTGGCCAATTATGGCCCAGCTGTGTCAGGGCTCTGGAGAGAGTCACCAGTTTCCATTATTATTATCTTTTAATTATTATCTTTTATCATTATTATTATTATTATCTTTATTATTATCTTTTCAGCCTTTTATTATCATTATTATCTTTTCAGCCTTCCGTCTGTATCCTTTCTGCATTCTTTAGTGTAGTTTTGTACAGTTTTAGTATAGTATTCCTTTATATAATATAAATTACATAAATAACATCAATATAAATAACATAAAATAATAAATTAGCCTTCTAAGAACACGGAGTCGGATTCATTCTTTCCTCCTCCATCTGGGGAACCTCACAAATACCACAGGAAGGGGGTTCAGGCCTTGGCAGGGGCTGCCCAGGGGGGTTTGCAGTGCCCATCCCTGCAGGTGTCCCAGGAATTCCTGGAGGTGGCACTCGGTGTGAATGGAAATCCCTGTGGGAATTGTTCAAAGTGAGATGGAATTGGGCGAATCCCAGGAGGATTTCCCCAGGAGCTGGCTGGGAATTGGAACCTCCGTGTGAGTGGACACCAGCAGGAATTTCCCCATGCAAAGGGGGCTCAGGGATTGCAGCTGCCCAGGGAGGTTTGCAGTGCCCATCCCTGCGGGTGTCCCAGGAATTCTGGAGGTGGCACTCAGGGCTCTGGGCTGGGGACAGGGTGGGCACAGCTTGGGAGACACCATGACCCTGGAATGCTTTTCCAGCCTCAGGGATGCTGGGATTGTGCCAGAACCACCCCCAGGCCCGGGTACCTCAGCATCGTACTCCCAGAGCTGGTTGCCCCTCAGGTGGTGGCACTTGAGCATGAGGACGGGGCCGTTGAGCCGCGACACGTCCAGGCACAGGTCGTCCGTGCGGATCTCCTTGTCCGCCGTGTAGGAAAACACCTGGAACACAGAGGGGCTGGGAAAGGCCTGGGAAAGGGCTGGGAACCCCAAGCCCAGCCCTGGGAGGGAGCCCGGGCTGGAAAGCTGCAGCCTTTCATCGGAGAAATCCGTGGGAATTCAGGGGAAGAGAAAGGTTTTCCCCTGGAGAAATCCATGGGAATTCAGAGGAAGGGAAAGGTTTTCCACTGGAGAAATCCATCAGAATTCAGGGGAAGGGAAAGGTTTTCCACTGGAGGAATCCAAGGGAATTCAGGGGAAGGGAAAGGTTTTCCACTGGAGGAATCCATGGGAGTTCAGGGAAAGGGAAAGGTTTTCCACTGGAGAAATCCACAGGAATTCAGGGGAACATTCTCCCTTAGAGAATTCCCTGGGAATTCATGGGAAGGGAAAGGTTCTCCCTTGGAGAAATCCATGGGAATCCAGAGGAAGGGAAAGGCTTTCCCCTGGAGAAATCCATGGGAGTTCAGGGGAAGGGAAAGGTTTTCCACTGGAGGAATCCAAGGGAATTCATGGGAAGGGAAAAGTTTTCCACTGGAGGAATCCATGTGAATTCAGGGAAAGATTTTGCATGGGAGAAATCCATAGGAATTCAGGGGAAGGGAAAAGGTCTCCCTTGGAGAAATCCATGGGAATTCAGGGGATGGGAAAGGTTCTCCCAGCCAAAAAGCAGGGAAATGAGGCCAAGCTCCAGTGAGGATGGAGGAGGTGACAGGAGGAGATGGCAGGAGCTGGGATGAACCTTCAGGATAAATCAGGGATGGGAACATGGAGCATATCCCAGCCTTTCCCAGCAGGAATGTGGCCAGGAGTAGGTGTCTGGAACACCAGGGCTACCAGGGAATTGTGACCGTGCCAGGCTGGCACCACCCCTGGAAAATTCGATACATAAATAATAAACTCTAATTAATTAAAATAGAGTTAATTTAAAATATGCTTAGAAGTCGCTTAATTATAATTTACATCCCAAACCCCATCTGGAGCAGCCATGCTAATTTGAATATCCACTGGAATATGCAAATTTTGTTCTAATTAACCCAGAGTTGTTGGTCACAAGACCAAGAATTCCATCCACTCTTCTACTCCCTTTCCAGTTCCTCCAAATGAAACTCCCCAGGCCCCCACCATTGGAATTCCACTAAAGAACTTCCATGAATATCCTGGATATTTATTTTCCTGCACACGTTCAGAACAGATGGATTCAGCTATGTTTATGGATTATGCCCATTTCATTTTTATGAAAATAAATTCGAATTCCTGATCACACTTCCTAAAGTTCATGTGTGGAATGTTTAATTTATTATTAAATGACAGCAGGATTCTATTCAATATATTCACTGGGAGACTTCCCATGGATGTGCCCCAATATTCCCCCATAATCTGGAGCTAAAACTGAAAAAAAAGGGGCTGAGTCCTCTTAAAATCCTTCAGCTCGAAACTGAATATATTTTGGAATTTTCATTGATTATTTCGCTATTACTTTCACACAAAATCTAAAATAGAATTGAAACAGATATTTAAAATATTCCAAAGGAATTCTTGGACAAATAAGCCACTTTTCCCTGGTTTTTATTTACCTGGTTCCCTCCCATGCCATGGCAGTTGAAAAATCCCACTTTCTCATTCTCCTTGCGGCCCATGTTGTCCAAGCACTGGTTGGTTTCAACATTCCTGATCTGGAAAAAGGAAAGAGGTGAAAATTCCTTAAAGAGGAATTCCTTAAAGAGGTGAAATATTCCTTAAAATATTTCCTGGAACCCGCCAGATTTGTGCGGAAAATGGCAATTTGTGAACAGATCACATTCCCAAATAGTCAGGGAATGGTCCGGGTTGGAAACAGCCCCAAAGCTCATCCATGGCCAAGGACACCTCTCACTATTCCATGTTAAGCCATGAGGGAATTCAGGGTGATTATCCCAAGTCTGTCAAAATCTCCATTTCTTTTTCTCCCAGTTTGTCCCAGAAAACAACAAAACATCCACTTGGGGAATTCCCTTTGAGGCCTGGTGCTCCTCACCTTTCATTTATACCATTTTTCCTTGGGTTTGAGCCCAGGAGGAGCCATCCAGGGCAGGATGTGGATCATTTATGGCCTAATGATGTTGCTCCAGCTTGGATGGATCAAATCCTGCCCAAATCTCTTCGGCAAGGCAGGAGAATGTCCAAAAACCGCACTTCCAATGCCTTAAAAATTCCCCATTTCTCTGCTGCTCCCTGGGCTTTAAGGCTGCAATTCCCTTTTCCTGCTCCACTGGAACAGCCAAGCAGGGCTTTAATTCCCAGCTCCTGCCTGAGCTGCTGTTTCCATGGGAACTGAGGCCACACTGCACACATCAGGTGTTTTAATCACTTCTTTCTGCCTTTCTCATCCCATTTTCCAGCCTGACAATGTGCCACAATCCCACTTTGTTTGACATTCCTTAGACAAGTCCTTTCCTTGCTGGAAACCCCCGTTTCCCTTTATTTTGGCAGGATTAAACCTGGAATCCTCCAGTGCCTTTTATTCCTGCCTACAGTGGCAAATTTCAGTGGGAAATCACTTCCCTGGATGTCAAAAAAAGCCATTTGTTCCTCAGAGCGTTATTCCAGCATTGTTATTCCATCACCAAATCCTTTGATTGTTATTCCATCATCTCAAATCAACCCATTCCAGAGCCTTTAAAAGGCAGTGCAGGCACAACTCAATGTAATGTTTTTAACTGTGAATTTGTTGAATTTCAAAGAAATTCCAGCTCCTGGTGGTCCCAGAACCTGGTGATTACCAGGAATGACTGTGACCCTCAGCTCCAGGCTGGAAAACATTCAGTGAACAAACATTTCTTTAAAAAAAATTTAAAAAAAAGCCATTTCTAGTCTCTTTCAAAGCAATTAATGATGATGGAAGGTTCCCCTCAAGGGCTGCATATTCATTGTGTCAAAATATTAATTCCAAACTTCACTTTTCCAATCTCCTGCTCCACTTGGGAGATAAATTCGCCTCATGAACATTTGGAATAGACATTTGATTTAAAGGGAGATTTTTAAGGAGAGGGAATATGTTTGGAACAGCAACTTCTCCTTAAAAAGGACTTTAAAAAATGGAAATAAAGAGAAATAAGAAATTGAGAGGAATAAGAGGGAACTCCAGGACCTGAGTCTTGGCTCCAAAGCCACCTTATCCCCTTGGGAATGGATCCATTGGCTCTGGACACCTCCTGGTTTTACTGATTTTCTACATTACTGGTCCCCTGCACTTACTGGTTTCTTTCCTTACTGGTTTGTGGCACTTACTGGATTCCTGCACTTGCTGGTTTTTGGTACCTGTTAGTATTCCTTACTAACAGCTTTCCAGTTCTCACTGTTTCCTGTACTACTGGTTTTTCCTTTACTCACTGCTTTCCTGTACTCCTTGCTCCCTTTGCTTACTGGTTTCCTGCTTTCCTGAATTCTTTTACTTACTGGTTTATAGTACTACTGGTTTGCTGCACTTCTTGGTGTCCTGGATTTACTGGTTTTCTTTACTTGCTGGTTTGCTGCAGTCACTGGTTACCTGTAAGGTTCCTTTCCTTTCCTTACTGGTTTCCAGTTCTTACTGGTTTCCTTTATTTCTTGGTTTTCCTGCTTTCCTAGACTTCCTGCTTTGTTGTAGTTACTGGTTTCCTTCCCTTACTGGTTTCCAGTTCTTGCTTTACTTACTGGTTTGTGGGACCCATGGAGGGTTTCCTGCATGGATTGATTTCCTTTCATTCCTGGTTTCCTCTATTCCTGGTTTCCTGCATGGATTGATTTCCTTTCATTCCTGGTTTCCTGCATGGATTGATTTCCTTTCATTCCTGGCTTCCTCTACTCCTGTTTTCCTGTACAGATTGATTTCCTTTCATTCCTGGTTTCCTCTACTCCTGGTTTCCTGTACAGATTGATTTCCTTTCATTCCTGGTTTCCTCTATTCCTGGTTTCCTGCATGGATTGATTTCCTTTCATTCCTGGCTTCCTCTACTCCTGTTTTCCTGTACAGATTGATTTCCTTTCATTCCTGGTTTCCTGTACAGATTGATTTCCTTTAATTCCTGGTTTCCTGTACGGATTGATTTCCTTTCATTCCTGGTTTCCTGCATGGATTGATTTCCTTTCATTCCTGGTTTCCTCTATTCCTGGTTTCCTGTACAGATTGATTTCCTTTCATTCCTGGTTTCCTGCATGGATTGATTTCCTTTCATTCCTGGTTTCCTCTATTCCTGGTTTCCTACATGGATTGATTTCCTTTCATTCCTGTTTTCCTCTACTCCTGGTTTCCTGTACAGATTGATTTCCTTTCATTCCTGGCTTCCTCCATGGATTGATTTCCTTTAATTCCTGGTTTCCTCTACTCCTGTTTTCCTGTATAGATTGATTTCCTTTCATTCCTGGTTTCCTGCACAGATTGATTTCCTTTCATTCCTGGTTTCCTCCACTCCTGGTTTCGTGCAAGCCCTGCTTTCTTTTCTTTCCTGCTTTCCTTTCTTTCCTGCTTTCCTGCCTCCTGGATGGCTGCCCTGCCCGTTACCCCCCATTCCCATCCCATCCCATCCCATCCCATCCCATCCCACAGTGAGTTCCAGTACCTCTCCCAGGGAGTAGTAGCGCCGCGGGATCTGCGAGTCGGGGTACACGTTCTCCAGGTACCAGGAGAAGGGTTTGCAGCCCAGCCTCTCCCGCAGGGCTTTCCTGACAGAAACGTCCCCATAATCCACCTTCACCACCCCTGGAATGGGGAGAGAACAGCCCATCAAACATTTGGGGAAAATCCCAGAGCTGCCCCAGCTTCCCTGCAGGGCTTTCCTGATGGAAACGTCTCCATAATCCACCTTCACCACCCCTGGAACGGGGAGACAAGAGCCCACCAAACATCCCAATTTGGGGAAAATCCCAGAGCCGTGCCAGCTCCCCTGAAGGGTTTTCCTGATGGAAACATCTCCATAATCCACCTTCACCAATCCTGAAATAGGGAGACAAGAGCCCACCAAACATTTGGGCAAAATCCCAGAGCTGCCCCAGCTCCCCTGCAGGGCTTTCCTGATGGAAACATCTCCATAATCCACCTTCACCAATCCTGAAATAGGGAGACAAGAGCCCACCAAACATTTGGGGAAAATCCCAGAGCTGCCCCAGCTCCACTGCGGGGCTTTCCTGAAGGGAATGTCTCTATAATCTACCTTCACCAATCCTGGAATAGGGAGACAAGAGCCCACCAAACATTTGGGGAAAATCCCAGAGCTGCCCCAGCTTCCCTGCAGGGCTTTCCTGAAGGAAATGTCTCCATGATCCACCTTCACCACCCCTGGAATGGTAACATAAGAGCCCACAAAACATTTGGGGAAAATCCCAGAGCTGCCCCAGCTCCCCTGCAGGGCTTTCCTGAAGGAAACATCTCCATAATCCACCTTCACCAATCCTGAAATAGGGAGACAAGAGCCCACCAAACATTTGGGCAAAATCCCAGAGCTGCCCCAGCTCCCCTGCAGGGCTTTCCTGAAGGAAATGTCTCCATAATCCACCTTCACCACTCCTGGAATGGTGACACAAGAGCCCATAAAACATCTGGGGAAAATCCCAGACCCATCCCCAGGTCCCCTGCAGGGCTTTCCTGATGGAAACATCTCCACAATCCACCTTCACCACCCCCTGGAATGGTTTTCTTAAATCCAGCTTGGCTTTATTAAAAACTCTGGCTCCTGACTCATCTCAGCACAAATAAAGATTTTCCTGTTATCCACACAAAAACAGGAGTAGGCACCAATTAAAAATAGGCTCAATATCCTAAAAATTAGAGCTGAGCTCTCCTCCAGCAGAATTCTGTTTTCCCAGGGAATCAGATCTCTCCAGACATTTAATTTTGGATGTAATTGTGAGGTGTGCCCCTAATTATGCTGAGAAGTCTACTTCCCACAGGGAGCAGCCCCTGGCTCCTCTCTCCTGGGATCTCAGCTCAGGAATGGGATGAATCAGCTCCCAGAGGAGCTGGGGGATGAGGCTGTGCCAGACAACAGAGCCCTCATTACCAACAAGCAAATTCCTTTGTTCTCCCAGAGAATTATCCAGAGATCTCTATTTTCTTCATTAATAGGAAAGGAAAAGGATCAAAAAGCAGATTAAAAATATTTTAAAATATCTTTTATATTTAGGAAGGCCCTATTAAAAAAAAAAAATCTGTGATTTCCTACTTCTTTTTATGGAGAATTTCCATGAAAACTTTCATTTTATTTCCCTTTCTCCTCCATTTGCTTCTCAACGCCGGGGAAAAACCTCATTATATTTTATCTATTAATTAATGCAGATATTAATAACATGGAAAGAGATCAGGGGCTGGAGCATGTCCAGGGAAAGGAATGGAGCTGGGAAGGGGCTGCAGAATCCCTGAGGGAGCTGGGCAGGGGCTCAGCCTGGAGCAAAGGAGGATCCAGGAGGGAAAAGCTCAGCAGCAGAGCCCTCCATAAACTTCCCACACTTTTTTTTCCCCTCACGTTTTTCTCCCACTTTTTGGTTTTCCCCTCACGGCAAGGGAGACCCTGAGGGGCTGGAGCGGGGCCAGGGAAGGGAACAGAGCTGGGAAGGGGCTGGAGAATCCCTGAGGGAGCTGGGAAGGGGCTGCAGAATCCCTGAGGGAGCTGGGAAGGGGCTGCAGAATCCCTGAGGGAGCTGGGAAGGGGCTGCAGAATCCCTGAGGGAGCTGGGCAGGGGCTCAGGCTGGAGCCAAGGAGGATCCCCAGGGATCTTTTCCCTCTCTGGAATTCCCTGCCAGGAGGGCACAGCCGGGGGGGTCGGGCTCTGCTCCCAGGGCACAGGGCCAGGAGCAGAGGGAACGGCCTCAGGCTGGCCCAGGGCAGCTCAGGGTGGATTTTGGGGCAATTTCTGCAGGAAAAGGTGCTCAGGTGGAGCCCCCTTCCCTGCAGGGATTTCAGAACCCTGTGCATGCGACACTGGGGACATGGGGCAGTGCTGGGGATGGTTGGACTCAAAGACCTCAGAGAACTTTTCCAACCCAGACAACTCCATGACACCTCCCATTCCCAGCCCCCTTTTTTCAGGAAGCACTCCAGACCTCCAGAGGACCCCAAACCCAGCCGTACCCGGGGAGATGATGTAGAAGAAATCCTTGAACTCGTCCATCCAGACCTCGGCCAGCCTGCGGTTGTTCTTGTTGATGACGTGGCCGGTGCCCCCCGGGAAGGTGTAGGGGGTGGCCTTGCGGAACACGTGTCCCACGTGGGAGCAGGTGACGATCTCCAGGGAGCCTCCACACTGCCAGATCTGCAACGGGAATGGGGCCAGCCTGCAGGACACTGGGCAGGGCCCAGGACATTGCTCTGGCTGCCCTGGAGGGCTCCAGACCCCAGCAGGGGCTCAGAGACCTTGGCACAGAGTCACAGACACCTGTGCCTTGGATTTTAACCCATGGAAACAATTCCCAACTTTGTGTGAGGAGTTACAAGCCACAAGGGTTTGAGTAGAATGATAGTGAATTTGTCACAGGGTGAAAAAGTGACAAATGAACTATCACTCTACTTGAAAGACTTCCAAGAATTTTTGGGGTTTAGAATGGGGGTTCAAGAGGCAAGATGGAGGAATCTGGGTGTGTCCTGTCCTTCTTCTTCTTGTCCTCCATCTTCTGCTGTGATGGTGGCACTTCTGGATTGGTTTAAGAGTAGAGACAGAGTGTCTAAAATAGGTGATGGGTATTGGAAAATATTGTAAATAAAGCACACGTAGATTCTCAGGGCTCTGGCTGCTCCCAGGGACCCCCAGATGTGTCAGAAATTCTCTTTTCCCAGCCTGGCGCTCAAAGAAGGAGTCAGAGCTCTTCAGTTCTTGGTCTCAAGGTTGGTTTTTGTTCCTTATCTATAAAATTCTTTCTCTGCCCTGCCCAGGTCTGCTCAGCAGGACAGACAGAGGCACTCTGCCTGCCCTGGAGCTGTGTTATCTTTTTATACTAAAAACTACCTGTACAATATTTACAATGACTTCCCAATACCCATCACCTGTGTTAGACACTGAGCTTCTACTCTAAACCAATCCAAAAGTGCCAACATCACCCAGAAAATGGAGGCCAAGAAGAAGAAGGAGAAGGACAGGACACACCCAGATTCCTCCTCCACACAGGAATTCTATGGAAAACAACTAGAAAAGGAGGATTTTAACTGGGTTTTCCTGCTCTTCCCCAAAATCCACAGAGCTCGGGCCCAGCCCCACTCCAAGGAGCAATAAAGACAATTTTGACTGGATTTTTCCTGCTCTTCCCCAGAGCTCCCAGAGTGGAAATGCTGGGAATGGGTCACTTGGATTTGTCCCTTGGAGCACATCCTGCTGGGAAAGGCGTCATTCCCTAATGGATTCATGGAGGGCGTGGATATTCCAGGATTCCATAATATTCAAAGGAACAGAGCAGAACTTCTACCTACACACTCAAATATATCATCTTTCCATCTATGTTGATATACAGTTAGGTATACATATTATACATGTATATATAAACATAGACTATATATTATAATATATTTCTATTTTTATATAATTACGTTTTATATATATATTTACAGAAATTTTTCCAGGCAGAATCCCATCCATGGCCATCCTGAGGAAAGCCCCAGCATTCCCAGGAATGCTGGGACACCCAGGGACACAAGGCAGCACATCCCAGACCCCCCAGAGACGAAACCCAGGAATTCAGGGTGTGCCCTCCACCTCATGTGCTGGTGAAATCCCAAAAATTCCATAATAAATGAAGAAGGCAATGTGGGGGACTTTTCCCAGATGGAAATTTTCCCTCTCCAAGGGAAATCCATGCTAGGGATAATCTAAAACGTGCTGGAATGCTGGAATTTGGAACTTTGGGGTTAAATAAAGTAACGAATTCTGCTGCTGGATCCCTACGGAGTGAGAAATGCTGGGAATCCTGGAATTATTTAGCTTGGAAAAGACTTCCAAGAACATTGAGTCCAATGTTAACCACATCCACCACTGATCCATGTCCTCATTCCACAGCTTTTAAATCCTTGGGGATGGGACTCCACCTCTGGCGGGGTTTTAGTCCCCTCCTAAGGAGCCAGAAGGACCCAAATTATTTAATTCTTTATTTTAATTAATTTAAATATTTTATTTTAATTATTTCAATTATCTATTTCATTTTAGTTGGTTTTTTTATTTCAATTACTTATTTCAAGTATTTCTTTCCATTTTTAAATTTCAATTATTCATTTCAAATATTTTAATTATTTCAACTTTTCATTTCAATTATTTTATTACAATTCTTTCGCTTCCAGGCTCCTCCTGGTGTTAAATCTCTGAGTTTTTAGGGAGTTTTGAACAGGAGCTCCGGTGGAATCTTGGAATTAAAGCTCCTTGACACAGACCCGAGTTCCCATGGCAACCAAGGCAGATTTAGCTAATTAGGGCTCCCTCCATTTCCAGAATTCCATGAGAATGAGGAGGGATGGGATCTGTGGGATCAGCAGTGAAACATCCCTGTGTTAACTGCTCAGGGGGAACTTCAGGATCAGGGGTGCCAAGGAATTCCAGAGGGAACATGGAAAAATCCCAAATATACACCGGGGATGTGCCTATGGAGCAACCTGGGAGCATGGAATAATCCCAAATAACTCCATGGAATAACCCCAAATATACCCCAGAGAATAAATCCCAAATATTCACCTAGCATGTGCTCATGGAGCAACCTGGGAGCATGGAATAACCCCAAATAAACTCCAGGGACATGCTCATGGAATAACCCCAAATAACTCCATGGAATAACCCCAAATAATTCCAGGGAATAACCCCAAATATACACCAGGGAATAACCCCAAATAACTCCATGGAATAACCCCAAATAACTCCATGGAATAACCCCAAATAACTCCATGGAATAACCCCAAATAACTCCAGGGAATAACCCCAAATATACCCCAGAGAATAAATCCCAAATATTCACCTAGCATGTGCTCATGGAGCAACCTGGGAGCATGGAATAACCCCAAATAAACTCCAGGGACGTGCTCATGGAATAACCCCAAATAACTCCATGGAATAACCCCAAATATACCCCAGAGAATAAATCCCAAATATTCACCCAGCATGTGCTCATGGAGCAACCTGGGAGCATGGAAAAACCCCAATTAATTCCATGGAATAACCCCAAATGATTCCAGGGAGTAACTCCAAATATACACCAGGGAATAAATCCCAAATATTCACCTCATGGAGCAACCTGGGAGCACAGAACAACCCCAAATAATTCCATGGAACAACCCCAAATAATACCATGGGATAACCCCAAATATACTCCATGGATGTATTCCCAGAGCAACCTGGGAGTGTGGAATAAATCCCAAATATACCCCAAGGATGTGTCCATGGAGAAATCTGGGAATAACCCCAAATACACACCAGGGAATAAATCCCAAATATTCACCATGAATATGCCCCTGGAGCAACCTGGGGATAACTGGGCACCCAATTTGAGGCACCCTCCATCCCAAATCCCAGCATTCCCCTGCTGGTTTCCCATTCCAGCTGGCAGGGAATTCCTCCCACAGCACCACTTTTAAAAATCTCTGCTCCTGGACACTTTTCCAGCCCATTTTTGGCTCTCCTTGGAGCAATCTGCTCCCTGTGCCAGCTGGGATGGGATATGGGGGAAAGGAAAATATCCCTTTTTTTTTTCTTACGAAAAGGGATATTTTTCAATATTTTTTTAAATCCCAACAAAACCAACCTTTCTGGGACACTCCCTGGGAATGTGACTGCTTCCCAAAAGTTCCCATCCTGCCTAAGAATTGTGGGGTCTCAGGGATCTGTTCCCCTCACAGACTACGGGATGCGTTCACCCCTCGCTGTGGTGACCCCAGGGAGCCAGGGAATTCTGGAATGGTTTGGGTGGGAAGGGACATTAAATCCCCTCCCAACCCATCCAGGGACACTCCCACTGTCCCAGGCTGCTCCAGCAGGAAAATCCAGAGAAATCCCCTCTCCCCTGTCATTCCTGCACTTCCAGCAGTGCCAGAAATCCCAAATAAACCCCATCCTACCCCACCCAGAGCTCACATTCCCTTTCCCAACCTAAGGAATCCTAAGGAATAATCTCACAGGATTTTTATTTTTTTTTTTCTGATGGACAGATCATTTTTAATTCCCATAGGAAATCCTTTCAGAGCATCAAGTTTTCAGGGCATTCTCCAAGTGGGATAAAACCACTTGGAGAATTTAACAGGAAACTAAAAATTTCAGTAATTCCATAAATAAAAATAAAGTTCAGGAATAAATCAGATTTTCCTTGGCTAGAGTAAACCCCTGGAGCTGTAAGAGATTCCTGCCAGGAATTGTCATCATTCTTCCCCCAATTAAAAGACATTCCTAAAAGGACTCATTAAAGACCCATCGGCAACAAGAAGCAGCTAAAAGAAAAAACATGGATTTTCCCAAAATAATCAAATTATACCCCATGGATGCTCCTCCTGGAAATGCCCCTGAGAGCAAAAAAAGCTGGAAATCCTAATTATTCTTTGGGATAATGTTGGAGCTGGATGCAGATGAGACAGACACGATCCAGGGCAAGCAAAGGCACTGGGTGACATTTATGAGGATTCAGGAATTCACAAACCATGGGGGGAATGGCTGGGTTTATTTTATTTTTGGGGATTTATTTTTTGGGGATTTATTTTATTACTCTGAACCAGTCGCAGATTTCCCCTCTCCCTTTGGTGACACAATCCTGGGTGCAGGAACAGCTCCAGGAACTCCCCTGTGCCTCCCTGCAATCCCAGCCCTGTCCCACAGCAGGAATTGCCCCCAGAGCTCCCCTGACAGGAGAAATTCCCAAACCCCACTGGAAAAGGGAAAAGCTCCAAAAAGCTTTGGAGCTGGAGGAACCTCCCTGATCCTTCAGCTCTCCTGGCCCTCATTCTCCCGTGGATTTGTTCCCTCAGCTGGGATTTGAACCCTTGGATGTCCCTGACAAAGTCACACAAAATATCCCTGGATTTTCAGTTGGTTTTCCTTCCAGAAAAGGAATTAATCCCAATTAATTAGGAATTAATCTAATTAATCCAAATGAACAGCACCAGGTGATTCCCTGGCCTTCCCATGGCAATATCTCCATTTATTCCTATCCCTGCCCCCATTGATTCACTGGTTTAGGGTGGAAAGGCACATTTGGAACGGTTTAACAGTGCCTGGCACTCCCTGCTGCAGGGATCTCCTGTAGAACATGGAAAACCATGGAGAAGAATTCCTGCACAGGGGCCTTGGCACACCCCAGGAGGAATTTTAGGATTTAAAACAGCAAAAAAAGTGGGAATCTCCTCATTGGAAGCATCCAGGCTCAGGGGAGGAACGGAACCCTTTGATTTTCCTGCAAAGGGAACAATTGAAGTTCAGAGGAATGGCCTGGGAAAGCTCTCAAATTCCCAGCTGATCTTCCCTGGAAAAGTCTGTTCCCTAAAAAACTTCAAGGGGTCCCTGGCAAGGAAAACATTCCTGGCTGAATGGAAAAGACAGGAAAAGGGGGGAAAGGGCATTGCCAGGATGTGCTGTGGGCACCAGAGGGATCCTGGGCGTTATTCCCATCACCAAATCCAGAAACTGGGACACATCCCAGGAGTTCCAGGCCATTCCCACCATCCCTCCCAACCATTCCTCAGCCAAGCCTCAGTTTCCCATTTTTCTGTCCCAAGGGCAGTGACTGGATGCATTTCCCTGGGGTGTGGCTCACCCCTACCCCAGCAGGAATATCAGCATTTTCTGCAGGATAGGAATTTCCCTGGCACAGACCCAGAATTCCAGCTGGAACTTGCAAGTCCATGATGTCACCGTTCCCAAAGTGTCTTAAAACGTATTTTTAATTTTATTTTTCAATGTAAATTCGTATCAAATTTCCGCTGGGCACCTCATTTCTTCCATGAAGGAATGACCAAAATATATGGAATTTTGGAGGGATTAAAACCCTCAATCCTAAAATATTCCACGCAGCAAAAAAATCCCAAAACACCCAATGAGGCTCCCCCGAATTTTAAAAATTCCATTTAGCTCATGACTTGCAGGCCAGCTAAAGCAGGAGCTCCCTGAAGAAATGACAGCACAAAAGGGGGATTTTTGGGGTTGGGGGTGGGAAGAAAAGGAAGGAAAACAGGAATTACCCTAAAGGACATTTCAAGATTCTCGCCACCCCAGATATCCATTCCTGCATCGTAAGTTCCTATCTCTTCAAAGTAGTTCCTGTCAATAGAAAACAGGCCACCAGCCATAGTTGGGGTCCTGGGTGGGAAACAAACAGGAAAAAAAACACAAAGGAAAACAGAAAAGAAAAGGAAATTAAAAAAGAAAAAAAAAGGGAGAAAGGAAAGAGAAAAGAAAAAAGAAAAAAAGACCTTTTAAAGGACACTCTGGAATTTACAGCACATTTCACTACACAGGAATTCTACTGAAAACAACTAGAAAAGGAGAATTTTAACTGGATTTTCCCTGCTCTTCCCACAGATCCATGGATCTCAGGCCCAGCCACACCCCAAGGAAAAATAAATACAATTTTAACTGGATTTCTCTGCTCTTCCCCAAAATCCATGGAGCTGGGCCCAGCCACACTACTCCCGTTTTATTTCAGGAGAATTGTGAGGGAAAATTGGGTGAGGTTTGGGCATCCTGAGTGAGCAGCAGCTCAAATCCAAGCAGGAATTCTTGGAAGGAGTTGAATGGGGGGAAAAAATACTTTTTGAAGGACACTGTGGAATTTGCAGCCCATTTTACCACACAGGAATTCTATGGAAAACAAATAGGAGCTATGAAAAGAGAATTTTGACTGGATTTCCCTGCTCTTCCCCAAAATCCATGGAGCCTTGGGCTCAGCTACATTCCCAGGAGCAATAAAGATACTTTGGAATGGATTTTTCCTGCTCTTCTCCAAAATCCATGGAGTGCAGGCCCAGCCACACTGGAGGGAGAAATAAAGAAAATTCTGACGAGATTTTCCTGTTCTTCCCTAGAATCCACGGACCCCAGCCCAGCCACACTCCCACTTCCATGCATTATTTCAGGAGAACTGTGAGGGTAAATTGGGTGGGATTTGGGCCTCCTGAGTGAGCAGCAGCTCGAATCCAATCGGGAATGGATTTGGGAGGAGTTTCATGGCTGGGCTTTGCCTCAGGGGGAGCCCAAAACGGCATCAAAGGAGCAGGAAAATCTCAGCTAAGAGGATCAGAAATCCTTACAAACAGGCAACCCCAGGGGACGGCTGAATTTCCCTGGAAATGGAAATGCCAGGGAATGCCCAGCCCAGCTCAATCCCAAACCCAGCTTTCCTCTGAGATGTCCCAGCACAGCCAAAGGGGTTTGGGGGCTCTGCCCATCCCAGCCCCTCTGCTGAGGCCCCAGCAGCCCTAAACCTGTGGGATTTGGGGCAGTGACCCTTGGGACGAGGCTCTGGAGCTGCTGCAGGGCTGGGGCCAGGCTGGGAGAGCTGGGAATGCTCCCCTGGAGAAGGGAAGGATCCAGGGAGGGCTCAGAGCCCCTGGCAGGGCCTGAAGGGGCTCCAGGAGAGCTGGAGAGGGACTGGGGACAAGGGATAGAGGGACAGGAGCCAGGGAATGGCTCCCAGTGCCAGAGGGCAGGCATGGATGGGACATTGGGAATTGGGAATTCCTGGCTGGGCTGGGATTGCCAGAGCAGCTGGGGCTGCCCCTGGATCCCTGGCAGTGCCCAAGGCCCAGCTGGAGCACCCTGGGATGGGGAAGGTGTCACTGGGTGAAATGGGATGGGATTTCAGGTCCTTCCCAATCCAAACATTCCCATTCCTCCTCCTTCCCTCCCATGGGTGCAGACACTCTTTTCTTGACACACAATTCCCCATTTTTTCCAAGATTGAGCCTTGAGCAAGTTTTGAAGGAGGAAACTGAACTGGACACACAGACCTGGATCATTGCTAAGGACCCCAAATCTCCTTTACTTTCTGGAACCAAACACCTCCCAAACCCCTCCCTAACAAACCTGGGAGTGCTGAGTTTCACCCTGGAAAATTCAGTGACTCCTGCCCTGATCCCCAGCCCAGCTCCTGGGATAAGGGGAATGCAGCAGGCAGGATTGTTCCCTGGGATGTGAATTTAATGGGACACAACCAGACCTGCAGAGCTTCCCTTGGAAAATCCCCTCCACCAAAACCCTCTCCATCAAAATATCGGGAAGGTCAAAGGCCTTAAAGTGGTTTTTAAACTGTAAAAATAAAATTTATTCCTCAGTTCTGCATCTTTTCCCTGTGGAATCACCTGACAGCTCCTCCTGGGAATTGCTGTGATTGACTCAGGATTCCCATTCCTGCACAGAAAAATGGGAGCAATCCCAGGTTTGCTGCACCCCAGCCAAGCCAGAGCCCATGCCAGGATTTCATGATGGGAGAGGAGGAGGGATGGCAAAGGGCTCCCAGCCCTGGAGCTCCCCATGGCATCACCTCATCCTGCTTTTCCCAAGGAATCCCATCCTGGGCATCCAAAGGGCTCCAGCAGCACAAAATCCCACTAAACCAGACCTCTGTGGGCATATCTGGGAATAAAGGATGGGCACCAGGATCAACATCAATCCCTGCTGTTCATCACCCAGGCAGGGCTAATTAACTGCAATCAACTCCGGGTTTAATTATTCACAATCAAGATATTAATATAATATCAAGATAATAAGTAACATATTTATAATATCCAGAGTTCCAGGAGCATTTGGAAGATGTTCCCAGGCACAGGGGGGATTTTGGAGATGTCTTGCAGGGCCAGGGGTTGGATTGATGGTCCTCGAGGGTCCCTTCCAGCCCAGGGAATGCCATGATCTGGACACATTCCTGATATTTCATCTTGCCTTTTTCCTATTTTATTATCTTGCCTTTTTCCTAGGATTTGAGCCCTAATTTATACAAAACATTTCCTGCACCACAATCTGTATTTTTAGTATTTCTAATCCCAGCCTGGAGTGCCTTCAGCTTCGAAAACTGAGGGAAGAGCATGGAAATATCCACAAAAATGGGCTGCACCGAGCCTGGAAATGCCCACGATTCTGGGATTCTCTGACACCAAAACTGAAATTCCTTGACTAAAACCTGAGATTTTGGACTTAATCCAGCCTAAAGCACCAACCCTTCACTCTCAGCTCTTTGTGACCATTGTGGCACAGGTGACATTTGTCCCTCTGCCTCCTTTGCTTCCCAGCTCCCACTTCATCCAGAGAATCCCCCAAAATTCCAGCCAAAAAACTGATGAGAAAAAAGAAAGGAATTTTAAAAACTCCCATTTTTTCTTGCTTTATCAGTTTTAAGAGTCAATTCAGTGTCTGGGCTGGGATGAATTTCGAGCCCAGCTCCATTTCAAGGTAAGGAAATAAGGATGGATGGATGGAGCTCAGCCAGGCCCTGCAGCTCGTTAGGAAAATTCATTTTCCCAATTTCCATGCACACCTGAGCTTTAATCAAGAGCTGCTGGCCTGGAAAGGAAATCTTGGATCAGGAGGAAAACGATTCCCTTGGCTCTGACAGCCAGGGCCTGCTGGCTTTTCCTGGGAACAAACCCCAAATCCTGGGAATAAACCCCAAATCCTGGGAATAAACCCCAAATCCGCCCTTCCCCGATTCTAGCCTTGCCAGGACAATCAGGGACAGAAATGGGAATTTTGAAAGCAATTTTGGAAGGTTTTTCCTGCCCTTCCATCCCTTCCTTGCCTGGACTGATCCCTGAGCTGTCCCTCCCTCCACCTGCAGGCTGGAATTCTTCCCCCTTCCAGATTTAAATCCATTCCATCCACTCGGGAACCCTTTTTTGGTCTCTTTTGGAATTTTGCAGGAAGCTGAGCAAACATCCCATGGCCAGGAATTTATTCCATTTGTTCCCTTTTCAGCTCCATTTGCAATTTTGGAAGAGGTTTTGTTCCACTCTGTGATTCCAGCAATTAAATGGAAGAGGTCAGGACACGCTCTTGGATCATTTTTCCCTCAGGGTGCTCCGTTATCAATCCCATTTTCCAAGCAATAAACCAGGAATTTAACTGCAAATTCACTGGGGTTCAGTGCTCAAAAATGCTCAGAAATCCTTTAGAATATCTGCCTTAAATTCCAAAAAAAAAATGGGCATTTAAATCCCAAAAAAAACAGGAATAAAATGCATTTGCAGCAAATGAACAGAGGGAGCTGAACAGGCAGGAATCTTTGGAATTCCTGAACATTGGGAAGAGGATCGGATGGGGTTAAGTGCAAATCACTGAGGTTCAAAACTCAAAAATGCTCAGAAATCCTTGGGAATATCTGCCTTAAATTCTGAAAAAACAGGAATAAAAATCTGTTTGCAGCAAATTAACAGAGGGAGCTGAACAGGCAGGAATCTTTGGAATTCCTGAACCTTTGGAAGAGGATGGGATGGGGTTAAGTGCAAAACACTGAGGTTCAAAGCTCAAAAATGCTCAGAAATCCTTTGGAATATCTACCTTAAATCCCAAAAAACAGGAATAAAAATCCATTAACAGCAAATTAACAAAAGGAACAGGCAGAAATCTTTGGAATTCCTGACTGTTGGGAAGAGGATGGCATGGGAGTTAAGGGCAAATCAAAGCTCAAAAATGCTCAGAAATCTTTTGGAATATCTGCCTTAAATTCCAAAAAAAAAATGGGAATAAAAACCTGTTTGCAGCAAATGAACAGAGGGAGCTAAACAGGCAGGAATCTTTGGAATTCCTGAACCTTTGGAAGTGGAAGAGGTCGGGATCGGGTTAAGTGCAAATCAATGAGGTTCAAAGCGGTTCAAAGCTCGATAATGCTCAGAAATCCTTTGGAATATCTGCTGGTACTAAAAACCTGTTTGCAGCAAATGAACAGGGGGAGCTGAGCAGGCAGGAATCTTTGGAATTCCTAAATCTTTGGAATTCCTAAATCTTTGGAATTCTTTGGGAAGAGGACAGGACAGGGCTGGCCCAAGCTCGCAAGGCCACGCTGGGGTTTGGGCTTTCCCTGCCATTCTGCCTGTGATCCTGCAGCGGAATTTTGGGATCTGGGGTGGGGATTTTTGGGAGAAGGGGGGCACTGACCTGACGGGCAGGGTCCTGTCCCCTTTCCTGCGGTCCATCTCCCTCTGGGGCACCGGGGTACCAGCGGAAATTCAGCTTCCAGTTGAAGCCCCCGTAGGTCATGTCCGAGCCCGCCATGTACTCGAAGGTGTCGTCGCTGATCACGTCGATGATGGGACACACCACGGTTTTCCTGGGGGGAAAAATGGGAATTTGGGGGTTATGGGGGTGTTTGGGCATGGTGGGAGGGGCAGGGGAGGGGGAGAAGGGGGAAAGAGGGGGGAATAGAATGAGGGAGAAGGGGAAAAGATGGGGAAAAAGGGGGGAAAACAGGAGAGGGAAAGGAGAAGGAAAAAGGTGGGAAAGGGTGAGGAATGGGAGGAAAAGAGAGAGGAAAGAAGGGGAAGAAAGGGGGAAAATAGGAGAGGGAAAGGAGAAGGAAAAAGGTGGGAAAGGAGAAGGAAAAAGGTGGGAAAGGGTGAGGAATGGGAGGAAAAGAGAGAGGAAAGAGGGGGAAGAAAGGGGGAAAATAGGAGAGGGAAAGGAGAAGGAAAAAGGTGGGAAAGGAGAAGGAAAAGGTGGGAAAGGGTGAGGAATGGGAAGAAAAGAGAGAGGAAAGAGGGGGAAGAAAGGGGAAAAATAGGAGAGGAAAAAGAAGGAAAAAGGTGGGAAAGGGGGAGGAATGGGAGTAAAAGAGGGGGAAAAGGGAGAGAAAAGGAGGAAAAAGGGGGGAACAAATTGAGGGAGAAGGGGAAAAGAGGGGAAAAAGGGGGAAAAATAGGAGAGGGAAAGGAGAAGGAAAAAGGTGGGAAAGGGTGAGGAATGGGAGGAAAAGAGAGAGGAAAGAGGGGGAAGAAAGGGGGAAAATAGGAGAGGAAAAAGACGGAAAAAGGTGGGAAAGGGGGAGGAATGGGAGTAAAAGAAAAGGAGGGAGAAAAAGGGGAGAATGAGGGAGAAGGGGAAAAGAGGGGGAAAGGGGAAAAATGGGAGGGGGGAAAAGAGAAGGGAAAAAGTGGGAAAGGGTGAGGAATGGGAGGAAAAGAGGGGGAAAAGGGAAAGAAAAGGAGGGAAAAGGGGGGAGAAATGGGGGGGAATTAAATGAGGGAGAAGGGGAAACGAGGGAGGGATGACAGGAAAGAAAGGAGGAAAAAGAGAAGGAAAAAGGTGGGAAAGGGAGAGGAATGGGAGTAAAAGAGGGGGAAAAGGGGGAGAAAAGGAGGAAAAAGGGGGGAGAAAAAGGGGGGAATAAATTGAGGGACAAGGGGAAAAGAGGGAAAAAAAGGGAGAAAAAATAGATGGGGAAAAAGAGAAGGGAAAAGGTGGGAAAGGGGGAGGAATGGGAGGAAAAGGGGAGAAAAGAAGGAAAAGAGGGAGAAAAAGGGGGGAAAAGGGGGGGATAAATTGAGGGAGAAGGGGAAAAGGGGAAAAAGGAGGGGAAAAAAGAGAAGGAAAAAGGTGGGAAAGAGGGAGGAATGGGAGGAAAAAAGAGGGGAAGTAAAGAAAAAGGGGAAGAAAAAGGGGGAAATAAACTGAGGGAAAAGGGGAAAAGAGGGGAAGAAGGAGGGAGAAGAAAGAGGGAAAATAGGAGGGGAAAAAGAGGGAAAGGGAAAGAAAAGGGGGTAAAGGAGAGGGAAAAGAGAGTAAAGGTAGGGGAAGGAGGGAAAAAAGGGGGGAAAGAGAGAACAAGGAAGAAAAAGGGAGAAGGGGAAAGGGAGCAAAGGGGAGGAAGAAGGGAAAGAAGGCAAAGGGAGGGAAGGGGAAAAAGGAAAAGGAGAATAATACAGAAAATCAGGGGGAAGAGGGAAATGGAGGGAAATAAGGAAGAGGAAAAAGGAGGGGAAGAAGGAAAAAAGGAGGGAAAAGGGGAGGAACAGAGGGGAAAGGGGGAAGAAAAGATGGGGAAAAAGGTGAAAAAAGGGAAAACAAGAAAAGAGAAGGAATAAAAAGGGTGTGAATTTCCATGAGTTCAGGGGGTCAGAGAGAGAAGTTGTTCCTGGTAAAAAACAGGGAGAAATCTTCCTTTGAATGGGAGAGATCCAGACCTTTGGAAAGCTGCTCCCACATTTACTCAGGAATGAGATTTTGATACAAACAGCAGCGAATTCGAAAAATATTCAATGTTACGTTCATTCCAGCTCAGTGAATCCTTTTAATTCCTGGTGGGTTTTTTGTTTGGTTTTTTTTGTTTGGTTTTTTTTTGTTTGTTTGTTTGTTTTTGAGGGGTTTTTTTGTTTGGTTTTTTTTGTTGTTGTTGTTGTTTTTGTTTTTTGGGGTTTTTTGTTGTTTGTTTGGGGGTTTTTTGTGTTTTTTTTTGTTTTTTTGGGTTTTTTGTTTGTTTGTTTGTTTGGTTATTTTTGTTGTTGTTTTTTTTTGTTGTTTGTTTGGGGGTTTTTGGGTTTTTTTGTTTGTTTTTGTTATTTTTGTTGTTGGGTTTTTTTTGTTGTTTGTTTGGGGTTTTTTTGGGTTTTTTTTGGTTTTTGGGGTTTTTTTTGTTTTTGTTTTTTTCTTTTTAATCTGCCCCAGGGAAGGGCCTGGAGCAGATCCCAGCCTCTGGAGCTGGGAACCCCTCACCTGTCCTCCTTGATCCTGGCCAGCAGCGGCTCCAGCCAGCCCAGGGTGCACTCGCAGTGGGCATCCAGGAACGTGATCACCTGGCCCTTGGCAGCCGCCGCCCCTCGGAGCCGCGCCCGGATCAGCCCCGACCTCTGCTCCATCCGCAGGATCCTGACGGGCACCCCCAGCTTCTTCACGTAATTCTCCAGGGAGGCCTTCAAAAAATCTGCCAGAATTGGGGGCAGACAGAAGGAAAACGGGATTTTTAGGGAGGTTTTATTCCGAGGTGGTCACAGAAGCTCCCTGCTTGGAGCACCTGAGGTGGGAGTGGGCTTTAAGGTCGCTTCCAAGCCAAAGCATTCCCTGATTCCAGGATAATAGCTCAGGAATTTTAAGTAAAGCACAATCAGTTCCTTGGATGAACCAGCAACCACAAAACAAAGACATTTTGGGCAATTTGCTGCCGGTTCAATAAAAAAAATTGGCTTTTTTTGACGGATTTCCCCACTGGAGCTCTTTGCATGCTTTTAGAAAAAATAGGAATCACTTGGCTCAAATCCTCCTCCACCTTCTGGCACGGGGAATCATTAAGCCACTTAATGAGCAGGGAAATCCAGGGAGTAATTAGGGTTCAATTAATGCTCCATGGGGTAGAATTGAAGGATGGAGTGGCTGCAGGGTTGAGTTTGCCATCAGCACTCATTGGGCAGCTCCAGGACCCTTTCTCATTCCACTGATTCCTTTTAAGGAACTTGATGGGATTCCTTTTTCAGGGAGTCCCCATTCCACAGGCAGAGTTTGCTTTTTAAAGTCTGGGGTCAAAACAGAAATGAAAAGGAAAAAAAAAAAAAAAAAAGTGAAGAATGAAGGAAACAAAGCACAAAGAGGAGCAATAAAGGCAGAGTTAGAATGAGATGGTCCCTTCCAAGCCAAACCATTCTGGGATTCTATGGGAATGATTTAGTGGGGATATTCAGGGAAATCTGAAGCATGGAATGAGGAGGGTGGAGAGACAGGAAGGAAAGGATTGGCCTTTCCAGGAACATCAGATTTACTGAGCTGGATCTGATCCAGGGCCTGGAGGGGCTCCAGGAGAGCTGGAGAGGGACTGGGGACAAGGCATGGAGGGACAGGAGCCAGGGAATGGCTCCCAGTGCCAGAAGGCAGGGATGGATGGGACATTGGGAATTGGGAATTCCTGCCTGGGCTGGGATTGCCAGAGCAGCTGGGGCTGCCCCTGCATCCCTGGCAGTGCCCAAGGCCAGGCTGGAGCACCCTGGGACAGTGGGAGGTGTCCCATGGTGAGGGGCTGGATTAGGTGCCCTTTAAAGGTCTCCTCCAAACCAAACCACCCTGGAAATTCCATGAATTTTTTCCACCCCCCCTCTAGAACCCACCACTGCTGGGACGAGCTGGGTGGGAACCACACTCTGAGCCCTGCCTGAGCTGCAGGAGCCGCCCTGGGAGCAGGGGATGGGCTGTGGGATGGGATGGGATGGGCTGTGGGATGGGGTGTGGGATGGGGTGTGGGATGGGGTGGGCTGTGGGATGGGATGGGCTGTGGGATGGGATGGGATGGGCTGTGGGATGGGATGGGCTGTGGGATGGGATGGGCTGTGGGATGGGATGGGCTGCGGGATGGGCTGTGGGATGGGATGGGCTGTGGGATGGGATGGGGTATGTGATGGGATGGGATGGGCTGTGGGATGGGATGGGCTGTGGGATGGGATGGGCTGTGGGATGGGATGGGCTGTGGGATGGGATGGGCTGTGGGATGGGCTGGGCTGTGGGATGGGATGGGCTGCGGGATGGGCTGTGGGATGGGATGGGCTGTGGGATGGGCTGTGGGATGGGCTGTGCTGTGGGATGGGATGGGGCTGTGGGATGGGGCTGTGGGATGGGGCTGTGGGATGGGGCTGTGGGATGGGGCTGTGGGATGGGGCTGTGGGATGGGGTGTGCTGTGGGATGGGGTGTGCTGTGGGATGGGGTGTGCTGTGGGATGGGGTGTGCTGTGGGATGGGATGGGCTGTGGGATGGGGCTGTGGGATGGGGCTGTGGGATGGGGCTGTGGGATGGGGCTGTGGGATGGGGCTGTGGGATGGGCTGTGGGATGGGGCTGTGGGATGGGCTGGGCTGTGGGAAATGCTGTGGCAGCCCCACCTCTCTCGCTGGCATCGTCCACCAGGAGGATCTCGGCCAGCAGGCGCGGCGGGGAGCGCTCCAGCACGCTGTGGATGGTCCTGAGCAGCGTGCTCCACGCCTCGTTGTGGAACACGATCACCACGCTGGTGTTGGGCAGCTCCTCCGGGTACACCTTGCTCTTGCACCTGCCCGAAACACCCGGGGAACAGGGAAAGGGCTCAGCCCCACAGCAGGGACAGCCCGGAGGGGATCCCTGCCCTCCCGGCATGGAAACGGGGCTTGGGACGCACCGCGGCACCGCTGCCACTCCTGGGGATGGGGCAGGAATTACAGGGGCAAAATCCCAGAAACTGGAATGCCAGGGGCTCTGAGGGGGGATGGAAAAGGGGCCTGGAAGCAGCCATGGCTCTGCTCCAAGGGGGAGGTTCCACATCCAGGGGGTTAGAAATTATAGGAATGAATTAAAGGGGCAAAGTGGAGATCCAGAGACTGGAATTCCAAATGCTCTGAGGATGCAGCAGGATGGAAAAGGGCCCTGGAAGCAGCCATGGCTCTGCTCCAAGGGGGAGGCTCCACATCCAGACAGCTCAGGATGGTGGGGATGAATTAAAGGGGAAAAGTGGAGCTCCAGAGATTGGAATTCCAAATGCTCTGAGGCAGGATGGAAAAGGGGCTTGGAAGCAGCCATGGCTCTGCTCCAAGGGGGACCTTCCACACACCCATGGTAAAAAATTATAGGAATAAATTAAGGAGGCAAAGTGGAGACCCAGAGACTGGAATTCCAACTGCTCTGAGGATGAGGCAGGATGGAAAAGGGGCTTGGAAGCAGCCATGGCACTGCTCTAAGGGGGAGGTTCCACATCCAGGGGATTCGAAATTATAGGAATGAATTAAAGGGGCCAAGTGGAGATCAGAGACTGGAATTCCAGTGGCTCTGAGGCAGGATGGAAAAGGGCCCTGGAAGCAGCCATGGCTCTGCTCCAAGGGGAACCTGCCACATTTCAGGCTGATGGGATGAATTAAGGAACAAACTGGAGGCCCAGAGATTGGAATTCCAGCTGCTCTGAGCAGGACACAGCTGGAGAAGGGGCTCATCTCACTCTCCCATTCCTGACATTCCCTGCAAGGACCGAGCTCAACCGCAGGGATCTGACTCCAGCCCTGAGCTGTTTGATCAGGAATTCCAGGTACAGCCATTCCCAGGTGGATTTGGCCCCAGGGAGGTTTGGAGTACACGGGGAATGGCCTGGGATGAACTGCCAAGGAAAGGCAGAGCTGACCCAGGACTGATCCACTAGGAATGTTTAAATCCTGCCTGCTTTCCCAAAGTTCCCACTCAAGGACCAAACCCTGCCAGCTGAACCAAGCACCATTCCATTTTTGAGGGTATTTCTGGGAAAGCCATTTTAAAGGACGTGGGGCACCTGCACGTCCTTTAAAAATGGGATGTTCAAAGTTAATCCATGCACACCAAAGCCTTCAAATTCCCCCTCCCAAACCCCATTTCCAGAGGCCTGTGGGAAAGGTGGGATCCCAGATTTCCTGCAGATTCTCTAAGAGAAGACACCATGGGAAGGAGGTGAGGGCCCTTCCAAGGCAGCCTGAAAATTCACCCTTGGAAAAAAAAAATCCCTGCAAAATAACCCTGAGTTTATCTGGAATTTTATCCAAACCGCTCCAGCATTTCCTGCAATTCCAAGCCCCTTGAAACCAGGAATAAAGGAAATTTAAAAATCCCCTTTGGAACAATTTTCCTTAAATAAAACCTGGTTTTTTTTCTCCATCCAGGGATGTCTTGGGGGCCCCTCCGAGGCTGCCAGGGAGGAAAATCTGTTTTCCATGATTTTCACACTAATTAAGGAGCTGACAGCTCCTCTTTTCCAATTATATCTCCCATGCAAACGGCTGCTCCAAAGGCAGCTGCAGCCCACGTGGAAAACATGGGAGGGGGAGCAAGGACTGTGCTTCTGGAAGGGAAATTTTCACATGTTCTCAGAATAAAGGAGAACTGCAACAATCCCAGGGTGTCCATGCCCATGAAAAACATTGCAGGGATATTCCATGGAGTGCCAGAAACGCCATCACTGATCCATGGGATCAGGGAATCCCAGGATGGGCTGGAAGGACCTGGAATCCCAGTCCTGACATGGCAGGGACACCTCCCTCTGTCCCTGCTCCAGCCTGGCCTTGGCACTGCCAGGGATCCAGGGGCAGCCCCAGCTTTCCTGGGAAAGCTGGGCCAGCATCTCCCCACTCTCTGAGGAAGGAATTTTTTATCCACCACGACTAAAGAGCTGGAAAAATCCCAAATCCAAAAATCCCAGCTCCTGGTGGAGAACAAATGCATCAGGTGTGGCTATCCCAAAATAAACCAGTTTTCCCTCCCCTAAGAGCTGAATTTCAGGAATGACAAATTTTGGTCTCACCTCGAAATCCAATCAAGAATTCCTGCCCTGAAACATGAATCTGAGGGAAGGATTTTCCCAGTTACAGGGAGTTTTCCCACACATCCATTGCCGCCCCTGCACTGCTCCATCCCAAGCCCTTTCCCCCACCCAGGATCACATCCCAGTGTTTTTTCCTTTGGAGAATCCCCACAAAACTCCAGCTCCGTGTTTAACCCTGGCAGCTGTTCCAGAAATCCCAAAGTTTCTGCTCAGCCCTGGATGTTCCCAAGCACTGAACACACCCAGGAGCCAATTCCAGCTGCAATCTCCAGGAGAAAATCCAATTAGGATGCTCCAGCAATCCATGGAATAGCACTTGCAGCCTCACTCATCCAGAAAAGATTGAGGATGGATTTCTTCCCTCGCTGGAGAAAATCCTTGGGAATGAAATGAGGCATTTCCCTGGTGAGTTAAGCTGGGTTTAAGGTCTATCAATAGCTCCTAATTAGAGCTGCCTCTGATTAAAATCTCCAGCTTGGCCATTTCCAACAGGACCCTGGAAATCCAGGGACATGCCCTGACAGAAAACCCAGGATGGAAAGGGAATGAAATGAAACTCTGTGAGATCCCATGGATCAGCTGGAATTAAACCATCAGCCCCAGGGCAGGGGTGCAATGGGAGCCAGTCCTGCTTGGATGCAGCAATGGGATGGGGAATTCCGGGGGTCCTGATGAGGAATCCCATTCCCACAGAATCCCACTGAGCCTGGAGCCAGGCTGGGAGAGCTGGGAATGTTCCCCTGGAGAAGGGAAGGATCCAGGCAGGGCTCAGAGCCCCTGGCAGGGCCTGAAGGGGCTCCAGGAGAGCTGGAGAGGGACTGGGGACAAGGGATGGAGGGACAGGAGCCAGGGAATGGCTGCCAGTGCCAGAGGGCAGGCATGGATGGGACATTGGGAATTGGGAATTCCTGGCTGGGCTGGGATTCCCAGAGCAGCTGGGGCTGCCCCTGGATCCCTGGCAGTGCCCAAGGCCAGGCTGGAGCAGCCTGGGATGGTGGGAGGTGACTCTGCCATGGCAGGGCTGGGAGGGATGGGATTTCAGCCTCCATCCCATCCCAATTCCCAGGATTCCTGGGATGGGATTTCAGCCCACCCTAGTCCCCTCATTCCCAGGATGGGATTTCAGCCCCCATTCCAGCCCGTCCTCCCATTCCCAGAATGGGGTTCCAGCCCCTGTTCCCAGCCCAGAATGGGTTCCCAGCCCCATTCCCAGCCCAGAATGGTGTCCCACCCTGTTCCCAGCCCAGCCCCTCACCCGTCCAGCCGCACGTCGGGCAGGCTGCGGTTCAGCGCGATGCGGTCGCTGGCCAGCAGGTTGAACTGGTTGATCTTGAACAGCTCCTTCATCTTCTCCTGCTCCTCCTTGGGGATGAGCACGGCCCTGCCCATCTCGCCCGGGCCCTCCTGGTTCCGGGAAATAACGGCTGGGAAACCAAAGGGCAAAAGGTGCTGTGAGCCCCTGGGAACTGGGTTCATCCTTAGGGAAGCTGCTGCTTTTCCACAAGCAATGCTGGAAATCCAACCCCCATCCTCCCTGCTCCACTGGGAGCTTTCATCCCTGTCTGCATCCAAGAACATCCAAGGTGACTGAACCCCCTGGATTTGTTCCCTTCCACTATCCCAGGTGGCTCCAAGCTGGCCTTGGACACTTCCATGGACCCAGGGGCAGCCTCAGTTTCTCAGAGAAGCTGAGGCTGTTCCTGGATCCCTGCAATGTCCCAAGCCAGGCTGGACAGGGCTTGGAGCAACCTGGGCTAGTGGGAGGAATCCCTGCCCCTGGAATGGGATTTAAGGTCCGATTTAACCCCAACCATCCCATAAAACACAAACTCAGACAACACCAAAGCAGCCCTAAATCCTGCAGATCCTGGGATTTCCATGTAGGAAAGGCATTCTGTGCTGCTCTTGTGAGCCAGCAAAGGCCTCCTGAAGATAAAGGGGAGCCCCATATCTCTCTCTTTCTCTCTCTCTCTCTTTCTATCTTTCTCTTTCTCTCTCTCTCTCTTTCTCTATCTTATCTTTCTCTCTCTCTTTCTCTCTAGCTTAATCCCTCTATCACATTTTGCAGTGGTCATTCAACAAAGGCGCATTTGTTTTGATTATGTCTGCACATCCCCTGTGCCGTGTCGGTTCCTTTAGCACCCCGAGATCCCCCCTGGAGGATGGATGGATGGATGGATGGATGATGGATGGATGGATGGATGGATGATGGATGGATGATGGATGGAGGGATGGATGGAGGGATGGATGGAGGGATGGATGGAGGGATGGATGGAGGGATGGATGGAGGGATGGATGGATGGATGATGGATGGATGGATGGATGGATGGATGATGGATGGATGGATGATGGATGGATGGATGATGGATGGATGATGGATGGATGATGGATGGATGGATGATGGATGATGGATGGATGATGGATGGATGATGGATGGATGATGGATGGATGATGGATGGATGATGGATGATGGATGGATGATGGATGGATGATGGATGGATGATGGATGATGGATGATGGATGGATGATGGATGGATGGATGGATGGATGGATGGATGGATGGATGGATGGATGGATGATGGATGGATGGATGGATGGATGATGGATGGATGATGGATGGATGGATGATGGATGGATGGATGGATGGATGGATGGATGGATGGATGGATGATGGATGGATGGATGGATGGATGATGGATGGATGGATGGATGGATGGATGATGGATGGATGGATAGATGGATGGATGGATGGATGATGGATGGATGGATGATGGATGGGATGATGGATGGATGATGGATGGATGATGGATGGATGATGGATGGATGGATGGATGATGGATGATGGATGATGGATGGATGATGGATGGATGGATAGATGGATGGATGGATGGATGGATGGATGATGGATGGATGGATGGATGATGGATGGATGGATGGATGATGGATGGATGATGGATGGATGGATGGATGATGGATGGATGGATGGATGGATAGATGGATGGATGGATGATGAATGGAAGATGGATGGATGGATGGATGGATGGATGGATAGATGGATGGATAGATGGATGGATGGATGGATAGATGGATGGATGATGGATGATGGATGGATGGATGGATGATGGATGGATGATGGATGGATGGATGATGGATGATGGATGGATGATGGATGATGGATGGATGATGGATGATGGATGGATAGATAGATGGATAGATGGATGGTGACAGGGATGAGGCAGGAGGGGCCGGCGCAGCACTCACCGCGCAGGGCGGGCAGCAGGGAGCGCTCCTTGCTCTCGTCACATTTGTTGCACTCGCTGAAGTAGAGCAGCAGGAACACGTCCAGCAGCACCCAGAGCAGCGAGGTGGCCAGCACCACCCGGCAGTAGCCAAACCTCCTCATGGCTCCTGGCACCCAGCAGCAGCAGCAGCACAGCGGGCTCACAGTGCCACGGCACCGACCCACCAGGCAGGCAGGGAGCAGCTGCCCACTGCAGGCAGAGGAAAGGCAGCAGATCCTCATGGATTCATGGATATTCATCCTTGTACTCAACATTGTTTGACACTGAAATGATCGTTTGCCTCAAATAATGATTTTATATTTCTCAATATTTGAATTTTCGTCCTGCCAAAATATTTCAGACTCCACCTGGTGAGCACCAAAGATCCCTTGGAAAAGGCAGCAGAGTCACGGACCCAGGGTGGGTTTGGGCTCCTGCCTGAATTAGGGAGTTTGGAAAACAAAGCTAAAGGTGAGGCCTCCATACCCAGTTCTCCAAAGGGTGGAGCCAGGCTGGGAGAGCTGGGAATGTTCCCCTGGAGAAGGGAAGGATCCAGGGAGGGCTCAGAGCCCCTGGCAGGGCCTGAAGGGGCTCCAGGAGAGCTGGAGAGGGACTGGGGACAAGGGATGGAGGGACAGGAGCCAGGGAATGGCTGCCAGTGCCAGAGGGCAGGCATGGATGGGACATTGGGAATTGGGAATTCCTGGCTGGGCTGGGATTCCCAGAGCAGCTGGGGCTGCCCCTGGATCCCTGGCAGTGCCCAAGGCCAGGCTGGAGCAATCTGGGATAGGGAAGGTGTCCCTGGGTGGATGGGATAAATGGGATTTCAGGTTCCTTCCCATCCAAACCATTCCAGAATGCCATGCTCACCCCCCCCCCCGGGGCTGCAATCAGTAATTAGAGCTCTGTAATTAATGACCCCCACTCACCATCACTGCCTGCATTCCGTGCCCAGACTCCGTGTCCTGCTCCAGCCATGCTCCCACAGAATTCCCTCAGCACTGAACCACTGGATAATTCTCCAAGTGCCTGGAATAGAAAAAGAGAAGAAAATCCCATCACTTTTCCATATTTCCTAAAACATAAAGAAATTTCTTATAATTAAAAATTCCTCCTCAGTTTTATGCACATTTTAACTTCCTTATCCTCACCACCTCAGCTCCTCATTCCCAAGTGGGATCTTTCCATTTTCCATCCCATTTTAATTCATTTTCATCTGAGCCAAAGGGATGGAAGAGCTGGAATGATTTAAATAAATTAAATAAATGATTTATTTAATTATTCTTGCAGCATTTCTGCATGGACTCCTCATTAATAACAATTTCCATCTGTCCTAAATATCAACCAATGGCTCTTCCTGCTGAGGGATTCCCAGGACACTGATTTAAAATTTCAGGAATTGCTGTTCCAGGGTAACACAATCCATTTCCACAGTGGTCACAGGATTCACTATAGGAAAAAAAACAAGGAAGAAAAACCCAAATTTCCCAACAGAACTGTGGATGCTCCATGCTGGGAAGTGTCCAAGGCTGGAAGGGCCTGGAGCAATTTGGGATCGGGGAAGGATTCCCAGCCCATGGAACGGGATGAGCTTCAAGGTCACTTCTACCCCAAAACATCCCAAGATTCTGTGATTCCATCAAATCCCCTCCTCCAGACCTCCAAAAGGAAGACTGTTCCCCAAAATAAGTTTTATTTTAACTGAAATTCAGCCTAACAAGGTTTGCAGGAAGAGGAGGAAGGGAAAAACCCACAGGTTCTGAGCTGCCTCTTCCTGGAATAAACCCAACTTTACCCCATTATCCTGCAGCAAGGCAGAGGGAAATTCCTGCCCCAAACCCTGCAGGGCTGGGAGCAGGAAAAGCAGGATTTGGGGATAGGAAACAGGAGGCAAACCAAGGAACCTGCCAGCATTTCCTGGGGCTGACCCCACACAGTGCTGGGGGGAATTATGGAGGCTGCAAATCCAAGTGGATGGCAATTCCAGACTCCAATCCTGGATTAAAAACCTCACATTTTTGTGGGTATAAACCAATTGTTCTGGATTTTCTTCTGTAAATTGTTCAGGATTTTCTCCTGTAAATTGTTCAGGATTTTCTCCCCCCCAGCCCCTGGTTACCCCCACAGCCAGGCCATGCCCAGAATGACCAATATTGAATTTTTTGAGGCTCAGAGACACAGAATCCATCACTGCTCCCTGAAAATCTCTTCATTCCCATCCCCAATACCCCTGCAAGGTAAAATAAACATGGATACAGCAAAAGTCCCCAAAAATACAGCTCAAAACAATCCTTGAGCTGTATTTTCCCACCATTTCTGGTGATTCAATTCTTTAGTGAAACTTGGGGTAATTTCTGACTCTCTCATGGGCTGAAAATGTGGAAATTACAGCAGCACAGAGTGGGGGTAGGAAATAAAAGTGTGTTCAGAAGAAACTCAGCAGAATTTTGGGGAATCACAGAATTCCAGACTGGTTTAGGTGGAAAGGGGCATTAAGGATTATCCCATTCCACCCCCAGGGCCACCTCCCACTGTCCCAGGCTGCTCCAACCTGGCCTTGGGCACTGCCAGGGATCCAGGGGCAGCCCCAGCTGCTCTGGCAATCCCAGCCCAGCCAGGAATTCCCAATTCCCAATGTCCCATCCATCCCTGCCCTCTGGCACTGGGAGCCATTCCCTGGCTCCTGTCCCTCCATCCCTTGTCCCCAGTCCCTCTCCAGCTCTCCTGGAGCCCCTTCAGGCCCTGCCAGGGGCTCTGAGCTCTGCCTGGATCCTTCCCTTCTCCAGGGGAACATTCCCAGCTCTCCCAGCCCTTCTGGCCTCATTCCAGGAGGTCAAAGCCCTTCATTCCCAAATGGGCACTTGCTGTAAATCCGGCTCAGCTGAGCCCTGAGCTGCTCCTTAATCCTCTGGCACTCCTCAGGCTCATCACGGATGAAGTGTCCTAATCCTCTGCAGGACAGGAATGACCTGGCCGTGGAAATTCCCAAAGAAAATCCCAAAGCAAAGCAGAGCAGTTGGCCAGTTTCTCACCCAGCTCCTTGACTGATTCAGCAGAGTTGGAATTTCAGAGTGCAGCTGCATCCTTGACACGTGATTAAATCTTCCTCATTAACATCAGAACTGCTCTGAGCACAGTGTGACCTCACAAACCTGCAAGACTCCAACTTTCCTTGGCCACCTGCATTCCCAGGAATACCAAACCCAAGTGCCCACACCCCTGTGCTTGGATAAGGAAGGACACAAAATCCATGTTATTACCAGGGAAGCATTGTTCCCAACCTAAATATTCCCATTTTCATGGAATGAAACCCAAACCAGAGCCAAAACCAGAGCCAAAACTGCTTTTAACGCCACCCTAAGCCCTAAGGAGGGATTCCATGAGCTGGGCTTGGTCAAGCTCAGCTTAACCCAAGGCCTGAGATAGGACAGGGATTTCCCCTGCTCCCTTGCCAGATGTGGCCACATCTGCAGCAGCTCCAGCCAGCTGCACATCCCAGCGGTTGCCTGGCAACAGAGGGGATGCTGCCCTGGGTACCAGGGTCTGCCCAAGCCCCCAGGCTGCCCAGCTCCCCAGCCTGCAGGAGCTTTGGGATCACGCTCAGGGATTTGTTTTCCCTGCTCCAAGGGGCTCCCAGCTCCCCCAGGAACCCATTCCCACAGGAGAATGCCAAGGACACCCCTCCTGTCCCCTGCTCACAGCCAAAGGATGGAGGAAGAGGAGTAAAATCATCCCAAAATCCAGCCTGGCTTTCCCAGGGGATGAGAGCTCAGCAGGGCTCTCTCTGCAGCTCAGCCACGGAAATGGAATCCAGAACATCCCTGGGAATCTGCTCCTGTTTGTGCTGTTTGGGGAATGGATGGAACCACCTCCTGCTCCCACTCCAGAGCTGAATTCCTGCCTTTCCACTGTCAGTTTTCCAGCGAATCTGCTATTTGCCACGAGGGCCCTTCACAGCCCACTGAGAGCCCAAATCCAGCAGCTCTCACCTCACCCACAGCTCCTCTCCCACCAAAAGGATCTGGGCTGGAAGCAGGAATTGGATCCTTGGGATGGTCTTGGATACTGCTCTGCCATGGATCCCGGAGAGCAGAATTCCAGAGATTTAGGAGCACTTAACCCAGGTTTCAACCCCTGCTGCCGTGGATCCCAGAGAGCAGAATTCCAGAGGTTTGGGAGCAGCTCAGCCAGGTTTCAACCCCTGCTGCCATGGATCCCAGAGAGCAGAATTCCAGAGGTTTGGGAGCAGCTCAGCCAGGTTTCAATCCCTGCTGGCAAATCTAAAGCAGCACCTGACACTCAGGGATGCTCCTGCCCATGAGCACCCAGCCCACGGCAGCAGAATTTGAATTTTTCCTGGAATTTTTAGGAAATCTGGGGGGAAACTCCCCCAAAACCCCACAGCAAGAAGGGTTTAAGGCTTCCAGGACTGCCCTGGTCAGGCAGAGCCACACAGGGCTCAGCTGAAGGTCACCAGGAGAAATTCCCAAGCGGGAATTAAATCACTCACAAATACATTTTTCCACCTAAGAAAGGCAGAATCCTGATGCAGAATTCCCAGCTTTCTCCTCTGATAAATTAAAGGATTATTTCTCACAGCTGTCCTGGGATTCACCACAAAAAAAAATTGGCCAGGAAGGTTTGAAACTCCCCCTTTCCAACTTAAAATTGGATTTTAGGGCCACACTGATCTGAGCAAACCTGAAAATAAAACACCCTCTCCAAAACTCATCATTTAATTCCATGAGCAGCTCATTAATTCATGGATAAGGAAGAACTTTTAATGGCAGAACTGTCAAACTCCAAGATCAGGGAAGCTCTTGCACATTTAGCAAGGAATAAAAATGGGGGGGGAAAAGGAAATAAAAGCAATCAGGTACCTTTAGTCAGAGGCACACAGTGTTTTGTGTCTCAAGAATTCCATTTTTTCTGCCTCTCTCCTCTCCTGAAATTTATTAATAGCCCCATTCTTCCCTTGGGAATTCATTCCTGTGACTCAGGAATTGAAGTGGAAAAGCCTCATTAATTCCTCTCATCCCAGACCTCGGGAGGAAAACCTCTGGGGGACTTTGTTCAGGCACAGCCACACAATTCCAGGCTCCCCCAGTTCCATCCTCCCACA